CGAGCTGTAGAGTGCGGCGATTGTTGGGGAACTCTTCTAAAGGTCGTGTCCATCTGTCGGCAGACACTGGATGCTGCGACAACTCATGAAATAAGTTTCTGTGTCTCCCATGTGTCTCCTCTTGGCACACGAGCAGACGCCGGATGCTGTGGCACTTTTTCGCGACTGGCGACACTTTGTCGGAAGAGAAGGTCATGGCCTCCCTTCGCGAGGTGGCCGGACTCCAGTGAGATAGGTGCTGCATGTTATGAGACCATTCTGGAAGTGGCGGCTGGCACCCTTCTGTCCGTGGCAGTTGCTCGCTCGGCTCATGCACTGATCACTGGACTCCCTCGGTTTTGAATTCATCCACGTCTCCACTGCGCTGCTACTTCTCGTCGCGTCGTGCTACCCCCCGTCTGCAGAGTGCCCCTACCTTTCGTTGGCCTTGCCTATTTACCTTTCGTGGCATGTGCTGTGAGGAGGGGAAGCAGTATCCTTCGGAGTGCGCGATCTGCTTGGGCAGCTGGGAATCAGAAGATGTGATCAAGGCCGTGAGACTCGCTGGGAGTGAGCACTTCTCTTAGGGTTGCGAAGGGCACCTGCCATGCAGCATCGGAGGTGACTCCTTGTGGACATGCTTTTCACCAGGCCTGCCCCACCTGCGGCGGTTCGGCGCGATTGCATGCCTGTTATTTCTTCTGCAGGAGTGCATTGGTGGTTGGCTGCAATCCGCGCGCACTTGCGCACTCTGCCGGAAGGATGCCACTTGAAGACATTTACGGTCAGCATCAAGTGAAACTTAAGCTTCTGTGAGGACCTTGTGGTGCTAACAGCGGAAGGCAGGCACAGGCCAGCCCAAGCCGCCCAAGCCCATGCACGCTCCGACTGTGAAGCCAAAGGCAACCGGAGATAGTGGGGAACAGCCCGGACTTGGTCAAGCCCTCGGGTACAGAGGGAGATTTCCACGGCAAGTTGGCACCGCCGGCTTGAGGTCGAACAAAGGTGAGGAGGCCGGTGGCTGCAACCGGCAGCTTCGGAATATTTTCATTTCATGTGGACGCAAAAGAGGAAGAGGAGAGAGGAAGAGGCTGGAGCTCCCATCAACAAGTCTCTTGCGCCCACACAGGCAATGAACCAAGGCATGAAGCCAATCTTCCGTCAACTGGCCTCCCCGTATAGTCTTTGCATAGTGGCTTACAGGGGCCCTCGCAGCACACGGCACTGACTATAGCCATGGATATGTTTTGGGAAGTTCCTCGTGCTGTTTTGATTTAGTGTGGTGCTGTTTTTGTGGGCCGGGACAGCAGGACTTGATCTGGCATATTGCACGCAAGGATGCCGCATGTTCGGTTTCGGATCAACCCCTGCATTCCATCGAGTTGAGCTCGAAGAGCGAAACGACTCCGTTGCCACTTCTTCGCGAACCCAACGAGGTCTCTGCAAACTTGGGTTAAGCCCGAGCTAGCCGGGAGCATGTTTTTTGGAGGAAAGAGGATGCTTGGTAAACATGCCAAGATCTGGCTGCACGGGTAAAGTCGTCAATTGAGGAAGTGGTAGAGAGATGTATGCGAGCTCACGCTTCAGGAAACCAGCGTCCGTCCTCCAAGGTAAATCTGTTTCAGTGTAGGTAGGCGGATCACACCTGTTGATGCCGGGTGTCTCTCAGAGGGAGGCAAAGAGGATGGCACTTCGAATTCTGGGTGCTGTCCTCTCTATTGAGTAGCCTTGTGAAAATCCGATGGCAGCTAGCATCCTTGTCTGGATGAAATGGTGCCAGGCATAACGGAGCAATGCGTCGCTGCAATGCCAAGAGTATGCGGTCGTGAACCAAAGCTTCTGTAAACAAACCACTGACGAATATCGTGTTGGGCACCAAGTGCTGAATCATTTGCCAGCTTCACGAAAGAGGTTTGGCCTGGGCAACATGGCTTTTCATCACCAAAAGATGGTGCAGTTCTACCCAGCGACTGGCTTGGTTCGGCAGAATGTGTAGACACAGGTTTACCCCAATGGGTATGCAGCATTTGGCTCGTGCCTACTCCGGTCCACTTCTTCAAAAATGGGAGATGAGGAGGATTGCTCAGCTCGCTCGAGGACAGTATGGCTAGGCCGAAGTGATTTGCGTACTAGGAAAGGCAGCCGCCTGGTGTGTACCGGTCTTGGTGGTCCTGTGAGTGTATCCGTCGGCAGGTTTCCGTCTGAGTTTCCTAGGTACACCTTGGTGACAGAAGCTGGTGAGCAGAAGACTTCCATTGGATTCACAGGCTTCCGATTGGAGCTCGTGCTTTGCAGTGTGTCGCTCTGTATGCATGTGTTTCAGGCAAGGCAACAGCAAACTACGCCAATGGAGACATTTACGAGGGCTTGTTCGAGAACGGCATAAGACATGGCCAAGGAACGTACACGTGCGCGTTGTGGGGGACATGCAGCCATGAGTTTCACGTTAGTGCAGTCCAGAACGGAAGGTACCTGAAGGGAGACGTCTTTTCCGGCACCTTCGACAACAACCAGAAAACTGGTTTGGGCAGAATCGTGTGCGCCGTGCTTATCCAAATTTGGGTTGCGCAAACGCGTGCAGATCTGTGCAGGACCAATCACGGATCGCCTTCATCATTACGATGTACAGGGTTGTTTGAAATGATACCTCACCCCACTTTCCATGAATCTGTACTGCAGAATCAAAGCTGCGGTGATTGCCGTCAGACCAAGATCTGTGATGGCCCTCATGCCAAGGGCCTCCCGGTGCCTCGGGATATGTCGGATTGTTTTTTCATAGACTTGTCCCATCAGTCCTATGAACAGTCCCATGAACAAATTTGTAGCCAAATCGCTGCAGTCCGTCACTGCCGTGCCAGTACTGTCGGTCCTGTACTCTGGCACCACCCTGAGCTCTTCATCTATTGCAGCTGATGTAGCGAGCTCGTGGCTGCGAGGTACAAGAAGGGTGGCTACTACCACGGGCACTTCAAAGGTGGCAAGCGCGAGGGTGAGGCTCCAGATGCTTAGCACAGCCTCGTTACAAACCGAGTCTTGCCTCAGTGCTGGCAAACAGGGCACCTTTCAGTATGCAAACGGTGACATTTTCTCCGGTGCCACGGCCAAGAGAATTCTGTGTGGCTCTCGGATCTCGGTCCTGAGCCCTGGCTGAGGTTGCTGGAAGGATGGCAAGAAGCATGGATCCGGAACGTGCTCCGTGCTGTTGCTGTTTCAGTTCGAGAAGCTGCAACCGAAACCGAGTTGTGATCATTTGTGCAGACTTCGTGAGGTATGTGTTCAACAAAACCAAGTACGAGTACAAGGGCGAATGGAAGGCAAGGCCCTGCGGTTTGTACACGAGGTCCGTCGTAAAGGGGCCCGGCCCCGGCCAGGATGGGCAGATCTCAACGGGAACGTGGACGCTCACCGTTGCGCCTGAGTCGCCAGAGTGACGGAGAGGACGGGAAGATTTCTGTCGCTTCAGGATGGCACGCAGTACCAGGGAACCTTCCAGAGCCCGCTGCCAAGTTCGAGTGTCCGTCATGTGATGTGCACTGTGCACTGTTGTGCCTTGGAGGCCAGAAGCCTTGCGGCGATGCAACTTGGAAAACTCGTCAAGGTCGATCAGCCCTGAAACTGAGTGCCATGCTTCGTTGTCTTGCAGCAGGTACCATCGTGGAAGGATCCTATGTGCAGCAGGCGGGTTTGGAATCTCCTGGGTGTTCTTGCAAGTTTGTTGGTGAGCTTCCTGCCTGCGCAGGTAGTGCCATTGGACTCAGCGCCACCTGCCAAGCCGCGTGGTCTTGTGAAGGGTTTCAGCTTTCTGCGTGTTCCTGCGGCTGCTCGCGCTGTCATAGTTGCTTCTCCCTCTCCTGTCATACCCTCTCCGTGGATGACATCAAAGGCCTGGCGAACCTCCGGCCGTAGTCACACGGTGCTTCTGGACGACTGCAGCCTTGGTGGCCTGACCGTGCATAGTCGCTGTGCGACAGAGAATATGTATTCTCAAATCTGACCGGTGTGGCACTTCATGATGGGTTTTCATGGGAATGATAGTGGCTGAGGTGGCTGCAGAGAGCTAAGCATGCGAGGCATGCCATCTTATCGATGGGCCAGGGACTCGTGCATAGATTGCTCCTGACTGTTTGGTACCAGCGGGGTTCAGGAACTTCCGAACCTGAAGTGCGGGTACGCGATGTTTCACACATCCACGAGCTGGACTGGTCCTTGAATGGGAAAGCATGCTTCGCATTTTCTTCGTGTTGGTGCACGAGGATGACAGTTTGTGCTTGCTGAGTCTCTACGGTCGCCGATGCTCAAGCATGTGCATCCGATATGTTCAGAAACCGGAGCATGAACTTCCTTACCCTGGTAAGAGGGCTGAGGGTCTCTGCACTTTCGTTGTCAGACTCGGGTTCCCTTATATTTTCTATTTATTAGCAGGAGTGAAGGGAGATAAGACGTGGACATGGGCGCTGCTTGGTCCGCATGGGATCCACTGTCCGTTTGTGCAGGGGGACCAGCTCCAGCCAATGGGCAAACGAGGATTGCAGGTGGCAGTCAGGAAGTGCATCAAGCGGTGGATGAGATCAACGCACAGGCTGTCGAGCTCGAAGAAGCAATGATGCAAGAGGCCCCCGGTAGTTCCTTTGGATCTTTTCGGCCGAGTCGAGTGTTTTGTACGGACATCTGCATGCATCTACCATCTATGCAGCATCTTCCGCTCGTGTAGGCATCGACAAATGAGGATCCTAGCGGGCCACCTTTAAGCCGGCTTCCAGTACAGTGCTGGCCCACTCGCACGAGCCAGGAAGGACCCAAAGCGAAAATCTCGTAAGCCGCGAGGGCGTGGTCTGTAGGGCAACGCGTCAGTGTGCGTGTTGGGAACGTTGCCATGCGCAGTGGACGGGCCTGCATACCTGCTTGCGTTGCATTCAGGGTCCGATATGGTGGCGACGCGACGCAGATTTTGTGCTTGATATGGGCTTGTTCCTGGATCCCCCCAGCCCTCCCTGCATGAAAAGGCAAGCAGGTCCGCTCTATCATTGCATACTCCCGGCCTAGGAGCCGACGCGCTACCGGTTAGCTTGAGATGCTCCTGTTAAGATGCATCCGGAAGAATCTACAATGAGTTTAAATCCTGAGTTTGCCCTTCTTGCATCACCGAGTCCTAGAATCCTGGTGAGGCCATGTACCAAAGCCTGGTAAACGTTCCTGCCGTCGTGGAGGGGCATGAGGATCCTGACTTGCAGGCGGCGATCCAGCAGAGCATGTGCCCGCAAGCGCCACCTGAGCCTGCTCCAACGGAGGAGTCGATGCGATTGCAGCGGCTGCTGGACAGCTTGGGCATGAAGCGGATTGATGTCGGATCCACAAACCTGAGCGAAGACGGAGCACTCCTGAGCAATCAGTGCTTTTACCTTGCAATAGCCCGGAGCTGGCTTGCTTCTGCCGACCATGGAAGTGGTATGCTGGTCAGGGATTCTGCTTTGCAGCTGAAGCGGGAGATCGAAGCATGCGTCTTCTGTGTCAGAGGAGATGCGCGCGAACTGGGCGATGAAGCTGAGGCTTACACGGACTACCTATCATGCGTAATCCAAGGGCAGAGCCCAGCCTCCTCTTCGGCCATTGCAGATTTGGCAATTGCAATCTTTGCATCGAGCCTGGGTGGGATTGAAGCCTACGAGGGACAAGGCCGACTTCACGTTGCATCTGTGCTTTTCCTTTCTTTCCTGGGATAGTTCGGCTCCCAGGTTACTCCGCCCTCCCGCGAGAGCAGCAGGTCTCCAACCTGGCTCTGGTCTGGCACCGTCCTGGGCACTTCGAAGCCGTCGTGGCCAGCGATGGAGGTCGTCAAATGTGCCGGCGCAAGAGAAGATGTTAGTTTCGTGCAGTGTGGAGGCAAGGTGGGCATCAACCTACGAGAGCTCATCGCAATTGCTCAGGGGCAGTGGCCTGGCTTGCCTCCCCATTTCTTCTCTGAAGTGCAGTGCAAGCTAGCAGCTAGAGTTTGCGATGTGATTGCAACGTTTCGCGCCCCTTCTTGTTATCCTGCATCTAGCTACGGCTGCTTTCCACTCATGTATTGCTGATCGCTCGCGTCCAAGGAACGTGGTTGCCGCCGTGGTCAAAAACTGAAGTCTCGCCAACAAGTGCTCAGACGTCGCAGTACAGGTTCTTTGGTCGATCTGCCAGTTGCAAGCTTCGTTCCAAGTAGCACCTGAACTCTCCGCGAGTGCAACAAGCTGCACGCGCAGAGGACAGGCGATGCTTGCATATGCAAGCTTGAAGTAGTGCTGAATAACAGCACGTGCAAGGGCACTTTAATAGGGCCATTTTCCGACAGAGGCCAGCTGCCTCTGCAGCCAAGGAGGTTGCTGCTCTAGAGCAGGAGACGTGCTGATGGCGTGCTGCCGTTGGATTCAAAGCCCGCTCTGACTTGCTTTGGCTATCTGTCAACCTGCCGTGTCTGTGCAAGCTCATCCTTGCTCGAAGGTGGCGAGGTTGGTTCGTTCCGTGAAGAGCCACATTCAGGTTCTGATGGTCTTTAAGTCACACCTGGCACGTGATGTAGGAGAGCCTTCGACGCGTGCAGATCAGAGCAAAAATCTGAGCATTCATGTGTGAGAGTTTCTTTCGCGGTCTTGACAGCATCATACTGAGAGACAGGCAGAGAGCTGATGCTAGGGCAGAGCAGCAGGACGCATGCACCCGTACCGTTGTTGCAATGGGCATTCTCCGCTGTTTCGGCACTGCCGGCAATGGGACCTTCGAAGGCAGCGATCTCGAAGTTGTCTGCGGTGTCGCTGGAGTGCTCTCAAGCCGAGGCCCAGCCACTTGCACAGCAGTCGAATCGGCTGCGTGGCCATTCGGACAACCAGCACGGCTTCTGCGAGAAATCCAGGAGCATTCCTTGAAGATTGGCGCAGTCCGCCTCCGCCCGCTCCGCCAGCAGATGGCATCTTTCCTCAAGGTACCCACAAGTTTCGAGGATGACGAGGATGATGCCAGCAAGGCTGCAGACGATGAGATCCCACGGCCTCCAGATAGCCCGCCGGCGCCCCATCCGAGTACCTTGCCAGTAGTGTACAGACAGCACCTTCAGAGGTTGAACAACCTGGCAAAGTTCCGGAGCAAACACGTCTCCGGCTTACAGTGCTCGGACCGGGGTAAGAACATGTCTGCCATGCGGAAAGGCTCGGACACAGGACGGCTACCTCTGTGCGGCTGCTGGTGTAAAGGACGAGCAGGCTGAGGGCACCCAACAATTCAGCAGTCCGAGTAGAGTTTAAGCGGTGACACAGGCATTCACAGGCTGCACCGACCTTCCGGCGCCGGATGGCACAAACATTGGGAGGAAACCGTGTCCAGTGGAAGCTCAAAACCAGAGGTTTGACGAGGGACACGAGTGCAGGAAATGGTGTTACATCGAACCAGCTCAAGTCGAAACGGCAGGCTCAAGCGCAGAGCATGACTCCTTGCCATGCTTTCACGTGGTTGCTATGGAGGCAAAGAGTGGGGCTGGTGCCGCGTCGCACTCTTGGTGTCTCACGTTTCCGCCGCGATGCGGCGATGCCCTGCCACCGAGGCATGGACCGGCTGGCCAGACATCGTCGACGGGGTGGAGCTGCCTGCATAGTTTCATGCAAGGGCCTCGGCAAGCACCGGTGATTGCCATGGCATTCCTTTGAGACTGATTTCCTTAAGTGCTCGTAACTGTATATCGGAGACCATACCCTCGGTCTCTATTCACACTGGAGAATCGACGCCCTTGGGGATCTGTTGCGAGCAAGTGTTGTTTGTTATTTTCGCTCCTTGCGTGTCAACTCACGCGTTGCCTTGAGTGTAATGTCCAGGCAGACGCCCGTGGGATCAAAGGACTGAGGATGCAAAGATCTCCCAGTGACGACTTGAAGCTTCTGAAAAGGCGCTTGTTGACCGACTGAAGGTTCGAATCATGCTTGGCCATAGGAGGATGATCGATTTCACACACTGTGTCGATCTGTGCACTTCGCGCAATCTTGGACCAAGCTTAGAGCGGGGACCATGCCCGGATGGGCATCATCTTCCCCGCGAGACCAGCCAGACTCCACTCTGCACTTCTGTAGTCCTCGAGGGGTTGCTGCATTCTGCAGTTTGTGCTCACACCTCCGAAAGCAAAGACCATCTGCGCTGCACTCTCAGGAACGAAGTTGACGGCCTGAAATGTTTCTAAAGAAGGATTGCCAATTGGACGAGGATGGCCAGAAGTATTTGAGCTCCCACAACTACAGTTCCTTGTCCTGAGAGTCGAGGAAATGGGGACAGAGCATGACGGAGCTCACACGTGAAGGCATCGAGTTGCCAAGGCTTCAAAAGCCTTCTCCATGGCACGAAGCCGAAGCAGAGCTGGGAGTGCCCTGGAGAAATCTTCCGGGGCAGCTCTGGTAACTTTGGGTTCGGAGACATTTTCACAGTCTGCCTGTCGAAGATCTGCCGATTCGGCTTAGGTTTGGAAGTAACGTTGCGCGGGCATGTGACTGCACGTTTGCAGTGGCTGGGAGCTCGATCCGTCGAGTCATGTCAAGCTAAGTCAGCTATGTGTGTTGGAAAGGGCTTCGCTGCCATTCTTGAGGTTGCGACCTTTGCTGTGTCGATGGGAGCGTTTCTGCTGCCGTGGGCCTTGGCAATTTTATGCATACTGACAGCTGGATACATCATCGGCAAGCTCGCGTGCTCCATGTTCATTCTCGTGCTTAGTGTGGCCCGGCTTGTCCGCGCTTGTTAAGACATGAACATGGAGACACATGTGTGCAGAAAAAGCGTCAAAGCACCTGCAGTCTCTGCTGCAGGTCCTTGTGGGCAAAATCCACAAGAATCAGCATGAGCGAGCGGTCGTCTTCTGGAGTTGGCTGGTCGGTCGCACTACAGCAGGGGTCCACGCTTCCTCGTAGTCGTAGGACTTGGAGCCGAGGTTTCCGTGTTGGAAGTTTCTCTTGTGCTGCGTTGGATGCCTCGCCGGGGCGCTTACCGGACACCAGCTCTGGCAGAACTATTGGCAGCAGTACAGCGACATTTCACTCCTGAAGGCCAGCCTGCGAATGTGTGTAGACTCCAGGAAGAGCTTGGGATTTCGTGTCTGCTGGGGGAGTTGGGGCAAACTCAGGCGTATCATGGCATAGATCCGTCTGTGGTTCCGGGGAGTCAGATTCAAGATTCTGGCGCGGTGGACTTTGTCTCTGCCGGTGTCGATTCTGAACACGGTGGATGCTTCATGAATGCTGGCACGACGTACTGCGTGGCACCGATAGTCGCAAACGGCACGATCCATCATAGTGTTGGAGGAGCGCCGCGATATGGAAGCTTCGACTACTTTGCTGTGGGTGTTGACTGTTGTTCGTGCCCCGTCTCCGCAAACTGGCTACTACGGACTCTTTTGGGCTTGACTTGAGCAGTTTTGTTTTTATGATCTGGTTTACATAGAGTCGGCGGCCAAGGTGTCCGAACATAAACTTCCGATGTGGTGCCTGGAGGCATCCTTGGGCAGAGGGCGGAATCCGTTCAACAGACTTGGAAGCCAGACCGTTCTTCCGACTAGCTGTGGATGAATGGGCCAGCACATACCGCAAGACCTCCAATCACCCTCTTTTCTTCGAGTGGGTTGAGTCACCGGTTGTGCACTGGCCACTTGCCTACAATTAGCTCTGCAACCAGGCTTGGGGACGACGCATGCGCACGCGGATCATCCTGTGGCCTGTGAGCACAAGGAAGAGCCTGCGTCATGAATTCCTCCGCCGGCTTTTGCTGGCACTGGTGTGCTGCGTCGGCATCGTCATGGCCTTTACTCTGACGCTTGCACGACTGCTCCAGGCAAGCATAGCAGAGTGAAGCACACAGAAGAAGGCGTAAGATGCGACGTGTGCTTAGAACGGGTTTTCTTGATGCTCTGTCGAGGCCCTCGTGGTCCACGGCTTCGCCTCGCCCCTCAACGTGCCAGCACCGCCAGAGGGCTTCGAGACTGCCTGGGCACGCTTCCTGCCAGAGATGCTGGAGAGCTACAAGGAGACAGAAATTGCAAGCTGCTTGAACACGGGTTTCGAGTCCGTGGTGTCGCATGGAAGCACCCTGGTGCAACCACTATCACATGCGACCACTTGCGAACATGCAGGAGAGTCAGTTGCAGCAGAACGCTACATCTTGTGCTGAAAGCCGTGAGAGCTGCTATGGAGCTGTCGACATCTCGTCTACAAGCTCTGCCTGAACATCGGGCAGGCGTTGTCCGTTCGCATTCTCTGCAAGCGAAAAGGGATCCGCGAGATGATGGTCTCGGCGGTCGCTTTAGATCTCTGGCCTGCAAGCCCTTGAATTCATGGTTGCACATGAAGTTTCCTTCGCCATCCTGTTTGATGTTATTCGAACCATCTGAACTTCTTGCGGCTCTCCCTGTCGCAGCTGGCAGCGTGCCTGGCTTTGGCGAGGTTCAAAGTCGACGAAACGTGGGGTACACACAGTGCCTTTGCCAACTCGATCAAGTTTTCGAGTCTACTGCTCAATTACTGTAGCTGTAGCTCAAGTTTCCTGCAGTGATTCCGTGACTCAAGAAGCATGTGATGCGTTGAGCAGACTTGCTTCAGACCAAGTCCGGTCAGCGCAGCGCCATGAAAACCCGGCCGTGGCGGCCCTCGGGGCATGCTCATCCGGCCCACCTGCGAAGTTTCCTTCGGGCGCTTCCTGCCTGGCACCTGTTGGGCCCACTAGATGAACCGCAACTGCCGCTCTGATGAAGGGAGACGGGAAGGGGCAAGGCAGCAAGCGGAAGCAAGCTCGGTCCAGAGCGCAGGTGCAGCATCTATGAGTGTTTGGACAGGGGCCTGCTGGAGGAGGCGCGATTGCTTGGCCTTGCGGCCTTGCCATGAGTTCACTGTGACAAGCTCGATTTCTTCTCAGTCTCTGTGCACGGAGATCAGGCTCTAGGTAGGTGGTGATGGAAGCAGAGAGCGAACGCACACGCACACACATATACAGACACATGTTGACTCGGCATGTTTCATGTACTTAGCAGTGAGCCGGTTAACTTTGCCACGCGCTTGACGTTTGCGATAATGCATACATAGCGGCTGCTGAAGATGGCGGCCAAGATGGAGGAGCTTTCTTTCAGTGGTGTTCAAGTCTTAGCCTGCATAAACTCCAGTGTGCCCTGTGTCATGCACGAGCTTGTGCAGCCACATCCACAGGAGGAGGACAATCCTTTCAAGCTGCCTCCTGATGACCAAATCTTTGCCATTCGGGAGAAGGAAAGGCAGAGGCGTGCAGAGGAGCGCGAGAAAGTCAAGCAGCAGCATGTCTGGGAGAAGGTGTGCGGGGCCCAGCTGCATCCAGTAGACATGCGAGGCAATGCTTCAGGCAGTGTCTTGGCGTTGGGGCTCATTACGAGTCCCTTGAACTTAAGGACATCAGCATCAAGGATTAGCCGGACTCGCCGAGTAGATGCCACTGGGAAACATGAGTGCATCCGGTCGAGGTGTCGCGCCCGTTTTCGAGCTCTGCACGTGAACTGCGAGCTGCTGAGGATGGCATCGACGACACCCAGGTCGCAGCCGAAGCTGCACGCAAAGCTCGATCGGATCCCCGCACTGAAGGCTTGCCCATCGGCTGGAGCCCAAGATCCGGTGCGGTGTCAAATTCCCGATCCTCTACTGTTTTCCCCCCTGTAACGGCCTCAGCGAGGCCGCGATGCCCGCAGAGAGAAGGACTGGCACGTCAAGGGCCGGCTTTGGCTTTGTGTGGGATCGGCGAGCTGCGATGAAGCACCCGGCTCCGGTAGTTCGAGCCAGGTTGAGCACGATCCTGCAGTTGAATCTGTCTCCAGGAGAACATAGCCGACTTTGTGGCGAAGAAGCGCGAAATGTTCTTGGTTCAGATGAGCCTAGATGTCAAGAAAGCTGAGATTCTGAAGCTGGATGCCAGAGCAAAAGACAAGGAGGAGGCAGGTCGGCACGGTGGAGCTGCGATAATGCTAGCTTCCGCGCAGTGCCTTTGCCTTGCACTAGCTTGAAAGGCCTTGAACAAGTCCAAGCAAATGCTTGACAAGGATGTGGAAAGGTTTGACACCTTCCTAAGCTGGCACCTTAGAAGGCTCAAGGCACAGGTATTTGGGAGGCCGACGCATGCGGCACCATCAGGTACCAACGACTCAAAGGCTCATGCGGCCATGAAAAATGCTGATGAGACTGCCAAGCAAAAGCAAGAGCGGGCTCGCTGGCAGCGATTCATCCTCTAGCTCTTGCACCGACGTGCAGAGACGTGCGGCATGGCACAGCACATCTCTCGGGCCCGGGCTTAGACTTGCCGCTTTGCGAGTTTAGTTCGTGAGGTGGGCCGAATCAAGTCATTGAAGTCACAACTGAGCGCCATTCAGAGCCACGTGTTTGCAAAGCATTGAAGGCGTTGTTGTCCCAGGGCCCATGCCTGCGTTTCAACCGATGCCGGACATCTAAGGCGAGATCGCCAAACATCGAGAGCAGAAAGATGAATGTTTGAGGCAAATGTTTCTTCAAGCGCGCCAACACTGCCTGGTCGCAACTTGTGGGCCTGCAGGTTCAAAGACTTCCTTGTCAATCTCACGCCGGGCGAGTGGAAGGAGCAGAAGCGAGAGGAAAAGAAGCAACGCAAGCATGAGCGACGGCGCATCGCGGTGTGTTGGTTGCATTAGAGCATATGTTGCAGGATGCCTGCAACAACAGTGTGAAACCATGAGGTGGATGCCAGGATGGAGGATATTGAAGAGAGAATGCAGGCAGAAATCGAAGCCGAAGAGCAGGCTTTCAAGGAAAAGGAGGAGAAAGAGAAGTGCCCCTGAAGCAGTGGCTATGTCAGTTGGCAACTGCTGATGTTGCTGTACAAAGGAAAGGTCGCCGTCGCCAAAAAAAGACAGAGGAAGACGAGCAGAAGGAGAGAGAGGCTGAAGCACGCCGGAAGAGGATTGCCAGAAGCTTGCCTTCAGATCAGCTCGGAGTTGGGAATGACAAGTCAGGTTGAGATGCGAAGGTGTCTGCCACGCTCAGGAAAGTATCCAACAAGAGACCAGGTTGACATGGAGTATGTCGAGTACTCCAGCGGCGAAGATGCTTGTCTTTGCGAAAGGGTGTGTGGATCACTGCTATTGTGTTGATTGTTGATGTTTCTGTGATCATCTTGAGGTGAGTACTGTAGCTGAAAGCAACTTTTCTTGTTTATCCTTCGGACGTCGAGGAAATGCCGTTATACTTTCAAGAGCCCAAGCAGCTCCTCGACATTTTCACATCACTCGAGGAGTCCAACCTCTTTCTCATACAAAACTCGCAGGCGCGTGAGTGAGACGTATTTGGATTTCCCACTAAATTACCGGCACCTGCCAGGACACAGAGCAGGCCCTGGAGGAGCTGGATCAAAAGTTTGCAGCCATGCGAAAAACGCGAGAGGCCTCCTTGCACTGGGTCAACACTAAATTGAAAACCCATGTCTAGTTGATCATTTCAATGTCTGGGAGCATTTAGCGGTGTCGAGGCCATGAGCAACAAGATGAAGCTCCAGATCGGGCAACTGGAGCGTCAAATCACCGACGAGAAAAGCAAATGCGACGAGCTGAAGCAGCGGCCCAGCTGCACCATGACTGTTAGGCGGGAGTTGGCAAGATGTGTGCTCGACTGCCTGCAGGGCGATATCGCAGAAGCACGGCGGTTCCGAAATTGAGGCTTCTGGTCCGCACTCTGCATTCCGCTTCTCGAGTCTTTGCATGGGACTTGTGAAGGACCTGCTGGAGAAGCTCGGGGAAGGCGTCCAGGAAGTGCACAGCATATGCACCCACGAGAACCAGGATGACGGTGACACGTTGCAGCCTAGCCTGCATTGGCGCAATTTGCAGGTGCATGCCTCGATGAACCTGAGCTGAAAGCATGCTGTTGTTTCTGAGTACTTAACTGAGTTCATCGAATATCAGATGGGGCTGGTATCGAAAAGCAAGTAGAGATGCTTCACATAGCATATGGCATCATCAGTACTGTCATTGATATTGCATGTTGGATTACCAAATCATATTTGAGGTAACAGGTTTGTGCCCAATTGCCACCCACACACGTCTACCAATCCACGATGGAGTGATGTTGATGTCTAACAGGTTTGTGCAGTCGTCCTCCGTATTTGCACCGGGCTTCACTTCACAACGGCATGGGCGTGCAACTGCTCAAGTCAAGGCAAATGTTGGCTCGTATTGAGTCCAAGCTCGAGGAGTACTTAGCCTATCTGGATGAGGCCCTGCGCAGCGCGTATTTCCGCATGTTTCCCGGTCTCTTCTATCATTGCTTCAAGAAAAACATGCAGCATATGCAGCTCTAGGCAGAGGAATCCGGGCTTGGAGCTCGGGTCTTGGCAGAGGAGCATAAGAAGGCCCGTGCGAATCATCAACTGCGTTTGTCTCTTTCCAGAGTCTTCCGGCCTCCACGTGCAGGAGCGGCAGAGAAGATTAGACCTGCGCATGAGTCGCAAATTGCATCAAGAGAAGAAGATTGAGGATCGGCTGAAGGCTGAGAGCTCAGTTTGTCTTGCCTGCCTGATGTTGAAAGCTGGTTCAGCCCTGTCCGGACAGGCGTCGCTGCATCGATCCCAAGCTCCCGTACACAAAAAGGTGCAGCGGGAGGGCTTGGGAGGGCTTAGGAGGGCACGGAGGCCGCAGAAGGAGCAAGCAAGAGCCTGCTTCGGGTCTTGATTCTTTTCCTGCCAGGTTGGCAAGCAGATCATGTTCCGCTCGGCCCCGCTCTTCCAAGCACGTGCGATGCCTAGAGCATCAGGGCATCCACTTTACATGGCGAGCGCCCTCCTGCAGCCTTACCACCCTTGCACCCTTGCTGTTTGACTCAGGACGTGTCGTGCAAGAGGATGACGGTTACGAGGAGGCAGTGCGTGAGCACAATATTTTCGGAATCTGGCTGGACAAAGAGGGAGTGCCGAACGCGCAGCAACCAGACCCTTGATCAAACAACTGTCTTCACATAGCATGCAGTTCGTGGGAAATCCTCTAGCCGTCGATGTTTTCAAGCGAGGCTTTACCGATAAGTCTGCTGTAGATGCCATAATCCATCAGGTGCTGTTCAGATGCCTCAACAGGTCCACCTGCACACCTGCAATTTTCCGCGTACGAGTATGCGTCGTTTGCATTGCTCCAGCAGAATGGGCGAGGTCCGGTTACTTCAACAAACAGCCACCCCACCTCCCACCCGCAGTCCGATAATTTGAATGATGCTTCACACAGCCTTATGTGTTCGTCTGACCCCGGTGATCTCCCGAGCGAATGATCACTTCGGAAATTGACTTGCATGACCAAGGAGAAAGCAGAAACATGATGCTGAGCACGCAGTGTGTCACAAATCATGCTGGCAGGAACCGCAAAATGTGGTTCTCGATGCCAGGACATGCAGAGATCAGAGGTAAGGTCTGGATTCGAATACCACATGCAGAGACTGGAAGCTGCTGCATCGTTGGCAGAAGTGTTTCACCACACGTCGGCCTGATGCCTCCCTCGCTGTCCAACGTCGCGCGCGATGGCGCCAAGACCTCTGGACGGCTTGGAGAGTCCCACAGCTTTTCGAACTGTCGCATGGCGAGCAGAAACATAGCCAGGGCAGCCATCGGCCATGATGGGCACCGACCAAAGTGCAGTACACGTACGCATTCTCAGAGACTACGGCTCAGGCACGGGACCAGTGCGAACACCTAGCCGGTGATGCCAGCAAGGAGGCCACTACCTGTTTCAGGTTCACAGGTTCACCTCGTGCTTGAGGTGGTTGTACCCTGAGCGCACTAGCAGTAGTCACCAGCAGTTCGATGCAGCTCTGCAAGATTGGCTTGTTGTGTTCTGCTGGGGCAGCCATTTCGAAGCTCATTGCTTACCCCCTTTGGATCCTGTGTCCAACTCGTTTCAGCTTCTTTGGATGTTTGGCATGCCGAAGAGTGGTGCGTTTGGTCTTGGCCGAAGCAGTCCGACAGCCGAACTCTCCAACACAGTGGCCATTACCGACGCAAAGTGGAACTGGCCAGTGGTCGACCAACAGGTGGTATCGGTGTTGTCAGAATTTGGGGAGATCGCCAGGCTTGATACCTCGCTCGTCACAGTTGCAGGATGCCTCCTGGTCACCTTTTTCGATGTTCGCTGTGCGCAGCGTCTGATGCTCTCCGGGATAGCACAGGTGAAGCCATTCCCACCTGCTGCCCACGATTGCCGCACGGTCAGGGTAAACATGCTGGCCTTTGCGGAGAGAGTCGGGGAAGCCGGTGGAGGCTTCAGCCAGCCCTTCGCCTGAACTTTGCGCTTTTTTCTTCAGTTCCAGTTGCAGTGCCCGCGCTGGCCCAAGGTTCGGTGAAGTTGCAGACATTTCACTTCAGGGAGATGCGGCTTGGAATTACAGTTGCTTTCCTCGAATCACAGGACCATGATGATGTTGCTTCTTCGTGCCGAGGCAGCGATCGTCGAGTTTTACGACATTCGCTCCGGTCATATGCTGCTTGCTGCTTCTCAGGGTACTGCAGTTCCATGGGTGTGGCAGCAACTTGCCTTGAGCATGGTAGCGAAACCTAGCAGAGAGCCTTTTATAGACTCTCGACGGTGAGCTAAATTCAGGCCATCAGTGCTAGATGCCAAGATGGAGAACCCCGAGATGACAGGCCCCGAGGACTTGTTACAAATGATTGGTGCAGAGCCTCTGGCGGGCTTTCTTCAGGCAGCGCAAGGCCTAGTTCCACCGGAGGATGAGGCTTCTCTTGGATCACCACAGGATGACAAGAAGGCGGCACAGGCGGCAGCAGAGCGGGGCAACCGTCCACTGCGCACCAAAGTTTCCAATAAGGAGTTTCAAAAATACGACATTGACGTGGACAAGATTCAGCTTGGAAAAGATCCTCGTACAACCACTATGGTTAGAAACATTCCAAACGGATGCAGCCGGAAGAGCTTCCTCCAGTTCCTGGAGAAGAACGCCTTGGGAGACAGGTTCACCTTTTTCTACATGCCTTGCAAAGAGCACCGGAATGTCCCTGCTGGCTTTGCATTCATTAACTTTGTCTCCCCAATGGACGTCCTGAAGCTCTTCGTGCTCTTGAAGAAACCCAGCTGGAAGATCTAATGCGGCCTTGATCGCTGCCTAAGACTTTAGCAAATCCAGTCTCGACGTTGACTTCAGGACCGGATCGTGGGGCGATTTCATGAAGAACCAATCCAAAGCCCCTGCTCTCAGTTACGCACGATTTCAAGGCCTGCACCACCATTTCGTGGAGTCACAATGTTTGGCTTGAGTTTGAAGCGCATGCTCTGTTCTTGTCATTTTCTTCTGCCGGACCTTGCATGGGATTGAAAGACACAACCAATGGCACCACTGTTTCGTGTTCTTCCACCGTCGAAGGTCAAGTGTCTCAAGGTACCTTGTCTGCCCAATTTTTTCTTGCTTGGGGGGCCATTATGAACGTGCTGGTTCTGTGTGTGGCTTTGTGGTTTTACGAACCGGCGAAACAGTCAACAGACGGTTTTGTATGAGCGATGTCGTGAGCGGCAGTGGCAAATGCGGACAGATCGAGAACGGTTTTTGCGGCTTTGCCATGCCGCAGGTCATCAAGAACTCTCCGACCATTTCAGCAGTTCGGCGGTCCTTCATGAGCAGGAAGACTTCAGATGAGATTACTTGTGATGTTATTGTGGTTTGCATATAGTTTCCAGCCCACGACGACAGGACCCAGAGAAACGGCCCATCTTCCGCCCCGAGAATCTGGCAAAATCTGAGAACCTGTTCGGGCCTTAGTCGTTGTGAAGTGATTGGCCTGTTTTGCTTGCGGCAATGCTCATCTCTGCTGCTCTGCTGCGCTGAGGATGATCACTCCGCCGGTCCTTCAGATGCCGACATTCCTGCCAGGCATTTCCGGTCGTGCAAGGGCTTGAAGGTGCTTCGAGGGATGTGGTCAGAGCATCGGCTGCTACGTGCAGAACCCTCGTCGCGGGCGGGGCGTCTTCCTTGTAGTGAGGTGACGGCATTTCAGTGGGTCTTTTTTCACGAGCGGGACCTAGCTTTCTGTTTTCATGTTCGCGCAGTAGCCAAAAGCAGCCATGTCGACTGTGGAGTCGTCAAGAGAACCTTGAAGTCAAATGCGTGCAACGCAGAGTTTGCAGACGCAGAGATACCATACCCGTCATCACTTCAGTGTCCGTTTACTGTCTTGATTGATTCTGCTTTTCGTCAGCGGTCCCTCGCAAACGGGGGCCTTGATACGGGCCCGGGCGAAGATCCGCATCAGAAGCGACGGGCGTAAAGGGACAAGGGAAGCAAGGCCAGTCGAACGGTGGGCCGTTGAAAACTTGCGCCGAAAGCAAGATGCCTTTTTGTTTTTTTGAGCCCTTTCCGCATGAGACAAGACCTGCATTGTGGAAGACGAGCATGTTTGGCATAAGCTGTCGTGGCCAAGCCCTTTGAAGCAAGTGGAAGAAACACGGAGAAATCAATTTACACCTTGCTGGCATATGTCCAGGTGGCTACGATGACAAGCCTGGCCTCGGAATCTTCGGACCAGGAGACCAGCCGTTTGGCAGCAAGCCACGGGTCCGACAAAAGGGTTTTGAATGGTTTTGATGACTTTCGACTTGGGAGGTCGCTGGACAAGCTTGGCAACCTCAAGGGCATGCACGAGACGTCTTCCCAGGTTGACAAGGATCCGTGCTTGCCAGTTCAACGCGAGGCTTCCGTTCGCATGCTTGCCCATGTACAGGGCAAAACCAGCGACTTGCCGATGTATCTGAAGCCGGACGACTTGGCCATTGGAGCATGAGCTCAGGCTTCGAGGCGCACAAGGCAAGGTGCAGACATGTGCAGACCCAGCGCCGGCCGTGCAGCTGTGCCCCTCAAGATTTTCTGGCAGGTTTCTGTCGCAGGTTCCTGATTTAAGTGCGCTTCTCCGACAGAGGAGTTCTGAGGGCTCTATGTTGACATTGCTCGAAAACTTGTCCATGAAAAATGGCATGGGGCAGGCTTCGCTTGTGAGTCCCATTTGTAAGTTGACAAACGCCGGGCGTTTCTCTCAGACCTGGACGCCAAGACTCGTACTGAAATTACTGAAACAAAGAGGACATTTTGTTGTTGAGTCTCTGTCGGCCTCGTATGTTGCGTTCGGGCTGGGAACTACCGGAACGAAGTTTTCCGTTTCTGCAAAAACTGAATTTTCGAGCTACTTGAGCTCAACAGGCTTTGTCGCACTGAGAGGTGAGTGACGTGTGCGCATCAAGTAGTTCAACTTACAGCTCCAACACAACTCCGAAGCCGCGATGGGCAGCGGATCCACCTCCTTGTCTTGAAAGTCTGACAGCACTGTTTCAATTGCTCGAGTACGATGCCATCTGGAGAGAGACGTGGTTTCGGAGAACAAGCAGTGAGAGCATTGTCGTCTGTGTCATACACGTAACCACAAGCTCCAGATGGCATTTGCCGCCTTGATGTTAGAGGCCGAAGCAAAGCTTCTGCGAGCAGGCAGCAAGCTTTCAATGCTAGCGCAAACGCTTTGAGGGGCAGCTGCACACCGTGGGCTGTCTGCTCGCCCCAAAAAAAACCGGCTTTGGGCACTGCGTGGCCAGCCCTGCCCTCCCGATGGCACAGGCCAAGCACCGGAGGGTGAATTTTAGGCGCCGCATAGTGCCAAGATGCCCGCGAGATGAGAGACTTTGCCTTGGGTGACGCGCGCATGTTGAATTTGGCCATTGTTTCTTTCAGGGCCAAAGCTTCTGGCAACCAGGTCCAACGAGGCCTGTTTGGCCAGAGTCACATGTGCAAAGCACGCTGGAAGCGAGGTCTCAAGGTCTCGAAGCATTCTTGCGTGAGCTGTTTCTCGTACAGTTTGCTCGTAAAGGGCTGTTCAAGCGAAGAGTGAAGGCAGGAGAACTTTACCCGCCTTTGTCGGGTTTAAAGCGGTAGCTTGTGTAGTTTTCCCATGTCTTTCCGTTTCGTGAAGAAGGCTGCTGCCACACTCGAATCTGTTTCAAAAACATCGCTCGACCCATGGATGCACAAGGTGCTTGTCCAAAAGATCAGTGATGCATTGTAGGCTTCGTCATGTGACACCGGTTCTTGCATCTGCATACACCTTCGGCTTCTCCTGCAGTTGGCTCCACGGCCTGTTGCAGCGAGTATCCGAGCGACGGAACAGCGTCATGAGAAAGCCCCTGGCGATGGTGAAGTGCATCTTCGCGCTTCTGTCGATCTGTGTGGCACAGCCTCATCAGGCAACGACTGCAAGATACCACGAGCAGCTTCAGGATCATTTCGACTTGGAGAACAACAGCACGTGGCCGCAAGCATACTACGTGAATGCTACGTATTGGAGGCCGGGCAGCAGGTCACCTGTCTTCCTTTGTGTTGGTGGAGAGGGTCCGCCCCTGGATAGCTCTGTTGTCGTTCACTCAGTTCATTGCAATCTTGCGGTGGAATGGCTTCGAGAGAAGCGAGCATTGATGTTCGCCTTGGAGCATCGGTATTACGGTTGCCACAACCGTTCTGCATGTCCCGTAAGCGATCTCGATGCTCCAGACTCTCTGCGGTATTTGTCTTCACGGCAAGCCGTTGAAGACATCGCTCACTTTGTGAGGGCCATGAACGTCGAGTACAAGCTGACAAGCAGCAATCTTTGGATAACATGGGGTGGGAGCTACCCGGGGATGCTAGCGGGCTGGTCTCGGCTGAAGCATCCAGGCCTGATCCACGCCTCCATTGCATCTTCTGCACCCGTTTCAGCGACCTACGACATGCCCCAGTACTTGGACCACGTGGCTTACGCCTACACAGTGTCGGACGAAGGTGTGGGAGGAAGCCTTGCTTGCAGAGACTCAATCAGAAAGGGACATGCATGGGTCGAAGGCAGATTCCAAGCAGGCGATCTAAAGGCCATCACTGAGAAGTTTGATTTATCTCCAGAGAGCCTCTCTTCCCAGGACAGTCGCGTCGCCTTCGCCGCCAGCGGTGTGGCTGACTTTCCTGCCCAGGAAAACGACCCCCTCTGTGCAGAGCCGGGCTGCAATATTGCCACAAAGTCTGCGCCATCATGACGAACCAATCATTAGGTGATGAAGTGCAGCGGCTTGTGCAACTTCGTAAGGTCCAGAACATCTCAGGATTTCCGCAAACAGGAATTCTTCAAGTCAGCAGAGCACTGGGCCAGACTTCATCTTTCCGAGTGGGCCTGCAGGGCATCTATCGCCAAGACGCTGAACTCCCAGACTTTTGGTTTTATCAGACATGTAAAGAGTTTGGATTCTACCAGACTTGTGCAGCTGGCGGCGGTTGCATGTTCGTCCGCGGTTTGGCAAATGCGAGCTACTATGCTGCTGGCTGTATGAAGCAGTTTAACATCAGCCTTGTGGAGGTCCAGAACAACATAGATGCTACAAACGATCACTATGGCGGCCAGGAGCCGCTTGATGACAAGGGCAAGTTGGGAAGCTGTGTGATGTTTCCGAATGGTCAGGTGGATCCTTGGTCCACGCAAAGTGTGCTCCAGTCCCCAAGCCCAGATCTGCCCGTCTTGATGATCCAGGGAGCTTCGCATCATGCATGGACCTGGCCATCACGGCCAGAGGACCAGGAGAGTGTGCTGGCCGCTCGGACAAGCATCCGGCAACAAGCCGATGCTTTCCTGAGAAAGCCCTGCGAAGATGCGCTGGACAACGGCCACAAGCATCGCGATTTATTGTGGATCTTGGTCTGCGCTGGGGTAGGCAGCGTTGTCTTTGCTCTCACCATCATCTGTGCCGTGCGACGGTGCCGGAGACCTCAAAGAGAGGGATTGCTAGCATCGCACATTAGTTTGCAGAACAGATAGCAAGCTTCGATGCATTCGGCCAAGGAGCATGGGCAGTGCAAAAAGTCGCTTTGAACGTCACTTTGGAGCCCGCTTAGCAAAGTCTCCGTGACTCGGTATTGTGGAGCTCGGCACAGGCCCTTTCATTCCTTGTGCTGTTGGACATCCTGAGAGCTTGGGGCATCGAGCTAAGACGTTAGGGTTTTCGAAATTCCGCATGAGCCCAACGCAAGGCGATTCTCTCGGTGCCAATGCCTTGGCACGCGAGGCCACATCCAGAAGTCTGCAGCTCTGCCATGAGCTCTTGTTTCTCTCCAGCCATGCCGTGGCAGGCTCCCTTTGCGGCAGGGACGCGGGAGGCTGCTGGAAGCGTTTGGAAAGATGCTGGGGCCGCTAGGGATCCATAATGTGAAGGCGGCGGCTGCAGCACTGGCTGCATTGCACTGCACGCTGATGGCTGGTGCCAGAGAAGGCGGTGCTTGCACCGACAGATTGAGTATGCATCCGAGCCGTGTCTTAGGCGACGTCAGTCTCCAGAAGGAGGTGGAGAAGGCCGGTTATGGTGCCTCTTCAGTTGTGCTTGCGTTCGAGCGACGCGTATGTCTACGAGTTCGGCAAATGAGTGAAAGTCTGACAAGTGACGGTGGCCTTGCATGATTGCTACAGTACCGACAAACTTATCCCGCCCGTGATCCAATCAGACCTCTAGCCCCGATGAAATCATTGCCCTTGGCGTCATGTTCCCGTCTGTGTCCCACGATGCTCGCAGCGGCTCGGTTCGCCGGTTCAGAAGGAAAGTATCGCCGGTTCAGAAATGCCAAAAGCCCTGTCCCAGAAAGCGATTCTTTCCATCTTGTCGGATCTCGCCTCGAGTCTCCCCACGTCATCTGCGGTTTTGCGCTACATGTTATCGGCTTAGAGTCTATGGCTGGCAACTACCTATGATCTCTTCACTGTTCCTGGGATTATTAAGTTCTGGATTCCAGTCGAATGTCAGCGAAGGCTTCTATGAGGGAGCTGAGTGGCGTTTGGCTGGAGAGCATAGGGCTCGCAAGCGAGTGGATTGCACGTAAACTGGCTTTGGGTAGGATCTTCGAGTCTGGCAAGGGGTTGGATAAGTTGGCTCCCAAGATGCGATTTTCTGCGCAAGTTGCTTCGGATCTACAGTGCAGTTGCGTTTTGCACCCGTGCCCCTGTGGATGGAAACAATGCCATGTGCGAAGTGATGTTCAGCATGTTGGATAGTCATGGATAGTCGGTGCGGTCTCTCAGAGCAACACTGGCATCGTGCACTTACTCCGTCGGCACACGCTAAGCCGTTGAGGAAACCACGCCCTTGTGTTCGGTGCACCCGTGGGACGAAGCGAAACCGTTTTGCTGACCGGCATGCGTGTAAATTTTCGAAATGTTGTGTCAGGTTCAGGACATGTGGGGCTCTGAGGCTTGTCATTACATGCCCACATTTGACGCGCACGGCTCGCCAACCAGGCTGTTCAGCTTGTCGTCAAGTTCTCCGGCAACATCTCTTGCACAGGCAAAGGCACCAGGTTTTGGCACATTCATGTATCTGGCCATGAGCTTTAAGGGGGCTGCCTTCATGATCGCTGCGGAAGCAAACATGGCCCGGCACCCTTTGTGATCAGGTCCCTGCTTGTGACTGCACATGCGGGGCATGCGGGGCCCCGGCTGAGGCGACGGGGTCCTTTGCCGCTGCGGCGCAAGCAGCCAAACGCGCTGTCTCTTGCTACAGGAGCAATTCAACGCCAAGTTCCGAAGCCAAGGTTTTTGGAACTGGATGTGGGAAGCTCTTGAGAGAGATACTCTCCACGAGAAACAGCAACAGGGAAGGGCCTGACCGTGTGCTGTGTGGCGAGGAGCATTGACGATGCCAAGGGCCAGGCACGAAGCGGTTCCTTGTAGTCAGAGATTGTCGCAGCACGCAGCCTCGCAATGCCTCGCAACGAGTCCGCGGCTCTCCGCTGTCTGGCTCTGGCGAGCCTGGCAGCCGAGCGCCTGGCAGACGCAGCGCCTCGGCTCCCTCGGCCCTCGGCCTTCGGTGAAGTCACAAGGAAAGCACAAGGAAAGCACAGCGCATGTTGCAGTGCAGCTGAAGGCTCAGTCCGCGAAGCTGGCAGCCACCCGAGCGCGCTTCGTGGGAGATGTGCCTGGAGCTTCTGTGGGTTTTGTTCCTTGCGCAGATTTGGAGACCTTCACCCTTGTGGTCGTAACAGCTCTCGATTGTTTTGCCGAGACCTGCCATCACTGCCTTTTGCTTTGGCCACGTTTTGGTGCCAGAGACCTCTAGCCACTCTAGCCTTAAATCTGCCGGTAGTAGCAGCTTTGGTGCATTTCCAGTTGGGTCTTTCTTCCTGGCTGCAAAGGATAGACAGGACGTCATGTTCGCAGTCCCTTACCTGCCAATTCCCCGACATCAGCATTTCTCGCAAATTGACCTGTATGAGACTCGACTACAGCTTTGTTGCTGGATGGTGGGCCTGGTCTTGCGATCTCTCAGCGCACCTCAGAGCCTCAGAGGACAGAGCATTGGCACCAGGATAATCGGATAGTCGCACAGCAATTTCCACGACGCTCAGCTCGTCGCGCCGCTCCCACACCGGCTAATGAATCCTCTAGAGTTTGGCTGTTGGGCTTTGTGCTCAGCCGAGACTGTGGCCCAAGGTGCTCGGCGAGGGCTGCGCCCTGCGTCTTGCGTCAGAGGCAGAGCTCCGCCAAGGCGACACGCAGCAGGCCACGCCAGGATTGGCCAACTCATGCTGCGTTTTAGCAGGCACTAGAGTTGAAAGCGAAAGCAGTGCGGCACCTGTCATTCGGTCTGCGACCGGGACGTTTGCGAGGCTGCCACCCTGGCGCAGGCAAGGCTGCAGGAGGCCGTATCCAACGCAGTGGAGTTGTCGTGAGAGGACTCCGCAGCTCTTTTCCAAATAGCGGGCGACACCTTCAACCAGGCTCGGAGTGTGTCTCTCGCTCCTGCGGCTTTTCTGCGGCGTTCTGGTTGACTCGCTTATCATGTTTGAGACGCTGTCTTGGGGGCTTAGGGCTCTGACTTTCACTTGTTTGGTCTGTCTTCCATGATGCTGTCCCTTCAACTTTGGGTTCGGTTGGTCTGGGATATCTACACCTTTCTGGAGTCGTTTGTTAAGCCTGCGGAAGAATTTGTGTCCACACCGATGGCATTGCTGTTCGCGGTGTCTCTCTGAGGAAGATGAAAGGCACGATTGGCTCGTCGGATCGGACGGATGGTTGGCTTTGCAACCAGCTTGTCTTCTACTAACCCATGCTTCATCATGCTTCTGTTATGTTCCATTTGCATTGTCCGCGGAGGCGCGGGGGATTGCTTGTCCACGTACTGAGAATGGTAGCGATTCACAGATTCATGCATCTGCGTACCCACGACATCTTGATTGAGCTCGGTCTTGACTCTGCTTTCAGCAGTGCTGCACTGGGCTGTGCCGGGTTCGCCGCAGCGCAGGCAGATGCTTTGCTGAGCGCCTCAGCGGCACTTTGCCTTCGTGCTCATCAGCGAAAGGCGGCGCGTGTGCATGTTTTGCACAGTTGTGCACCTGACCGCGCGATGCAAGGCGAACGCCCAGCGCAGCTCACTGGAGTCTTGGGCCGGGGGATTTTTTTGAAGACACGCGGCCTTGCTTTGGCTTCTTCGGCGAGGCCTCCCAAGCTTCTGCACTCGCCGACAAAGTCTTGACGATGCAGTGTGAAGGCACGCTGGAGGCATGGAGGGAGCTCGATGAGGTCACTCGTGCTTGGCCGTATCAAGACCAACCACCACAGGTGGATGCATTGCTCGCTCGGTCCTGGGCAGCAACGGTAGGTCCCAGCGCGGGACAGTCTGAGCAGGCAGCGCTCTGAGGCAGCCGGCGAATGTCCGTGGTCGTGTCTGCGAACAGAGGCCTTGGAAGATGCCCGGAACGCGGAGAGACTTGCGATCGACAACTCCGACAGAAGACGTGTCACTTGGCCCAGGAGCTTCAGCACAGCACGGATAGGGGAGACTGCAGCACAACCGCACACATAGGCACAGCATGGCACAGCTGTACTTGGAATGGCAGTAATTAATGAAGAATGCAGGGCACCTTTCTCAGGTGGCAGCTGCACGGGTCGCTCAAGCTCAGGTTCGTGAGAGTGCCCTTGCATGCAAATGCAATCAACACAGTTTGAACGCCACATGATTCGTCATGCTGCGGCCGTTTGTTCAGATGCTATAACTGACAGAAGAAGCGCACGACATTGAATCATTTCGATGCAGCCTCGAAGGCTCAAGTTGCAAAACGACAGTCCAAGGCTTGTCAAAGCGGCTTGCCAGGGCCCAGAGGCTACAGGGCCTCATGTTCTTCTTGGAAATGCTTGGGATGGTAGTGTCCTTCCTGGTGGCCTTGGATACGTGTTGGGCACGGCGGAAGGGGATGCTCATGCTCGGTCTCGGGAAGCCGCAGGCGTTGAAGCGGCCGGGCATGCCGGGCTCGCAGAGTTCGCAAAGCCCGAGGTTTTCTTTGAAGAGCATGGTGTGGGCCATGATGCTTGGCGGGTCCGTGACCCTGAGACTGGTCTGCGCTTTGCAGCTCAGTGAGTTCCACGCGACTGTGGGAAGTACTCTTGCGGCAAGCTGCTGGGTTTCGGCTTGGAGCTCCTTGCTGTCCTTCCTTTGTCTATACCCTTTTCTTCCCAGGGCGACTTGGGAGACCGCAGAGCTTGGGGAGCTTACAGAGCTTGCGACAGTTGTCGGGGCTCTCTCGCTGCCTGCCTTCCTGGCCGTCGCTGCCATGGACTTGTTTGGCTTGGGATTTGCGCAGATGATGTTGTTGCTAGTCGCTGTTTCGAGTGGTGCCCTCATGGCGGATTCTGAAGAAGTTCGGAAGCAGAGTTTAAAGATCTTGGCGCTGGCTCTTGGAGCCGGTCTGCTGGCAGTAGCGCATGGTTGGCCATCATCGAGGGACGACGTGTCCAAATACTCTGGGCCCATAGTCGCGCTGCTGGTTGCTGGCGTGTCTGCTGTCGTGCAAGCCGGTGTACTCGTGGACCAAGCAATGCCAGCTACAACAGCAAAGGCATGCGAGCTGTCGTGCCACTTCGCCAGCGCCATGGCTCACATGCCCTTCCTGCTGGTGTTCATCCTTTCCGGGGATTCCTTCAAGCTGCCGCGATTGGCAGACGCGCACTTCTGGGTCTTCATCGCAGCGCAGGGTGTCTTCTACCTGCGCAGCCTTCGGCCGCTCACGATGGCGTTGGGGCGCGCCTGGCCCCCGGCCCCCGGCTAGCCTCGAAAGTGTTCATGTGTCTGTGCGTGTGTGTGTGTGTGTTGAGCAATCGAGAGTCTCAGCCCAGGCCAGCACTCTGAGTCTCGTCCTTCTGGGGCAACTCCTGACCACTTTCATGATGGACACACTCCTCCAGGATGCGATCCCGGCACGGCTGCTGAACGTCTCCATGGTCCTGTTCGGAGTTCTCTTAACCGGAGGAGGAAATGAGCAGGCCGTGAGGTCAAAACTTCGCCAGTTCTTTCGCCAGTTCTTCTGTGCATGCAGCATACATGTAGCATATGTAGCAGAACACGATCACACGGGCAAGGGTGATTTGCAGATGCATGTCATTGGCCCTGGAGGCCACCGTAGAGTTCGAGGAGCCCGTTCAGAACACGCTGAACTTCAACTTCGTCGAATGCAACGGCAATGCAAATCATGCAGTCTAGGACTGCAGGGCCAAGGATTTCAAACCTGTAGTTCGGTAGTTCGCGGGCATGCCGAAGGCATACGCGAATCTGGGCGATTTTTCCGTGAATCGTCAGAAGCTTTGGCAGTGGCTCTGCGCAGCTGACTTTTCAGCTTCGCGACAATGCCTGCTGCAGTCGAAGGTTATGTGTACAGTTACTCAGTTTGGTGCAGCTCGCAGATTGTTGCGAGGCGCGCTTGCGAGTCAATCGCCACTTGCAGCACCGCGTCAGCTTTGCAATGCCTGAAGGAACGGATGGCATGCCAGCGTGGCATCACCGCAAACACAAACCCAGCAGTATCCTTTTCCGCGCCATGCTGAGAACTGGCGCTTGTTTCAGTTCTGCACGGACAGGCATTGGTCGTACAAGGCGAGGATGCCTCAGCTTTGAACATGTTGAATGAGGCCAGGGTGGCTGGAGTAGTGAGCCCTATCCTCCTCGTCGCGCGTGTGAAGTGCCAGGCCCGCAGCTTGTTTCAGAGAGCAGGAGACACCGATGGCGCCAGATTTGCTGCCCGACGCACAGCCTCTGTTGCGACAATGCAGCTTGTGGTGTGGATGAATCCAACAGCCTGAACACATCTTTGTTTAACAACAGTCGGAGGAATGTTAATGGAACCAATCTCAAACCCGCCCTATCTTTCTCGTGATTCCCCACGGTGCTTCAAAATGAAGCTGCAGGCAGGCAGAGGCTGATCCCACAAGTACAGGGGCCCGGAGCCTCCGGGGGGAGGGGGGGGACCAAACTCCGAAGCTGAAGTCCCGAGCCGTTCCGCACAAGAGGGGGATGATCACACAGAACCAGGACCCAAGCCGTTTTACAGGGAGCAGGGGGATGACCAAATGGATAATACCATTGGGGAGGGGGCCCACCAGCCCGCCGGCACGCAACCACAAAAAGAAAGCTCTAGGCACTGATGCCGAGCGCCAGCGGGGTCTACGGATGATTACCATCATACTGTACAACGATAGACATCCCTGCAGTTAGGAAGAATCAGCAGAGATATCGTGACTTATGAGTCCGCAGAGGACACTCAGATTTTCTACCGAGAGCAAGGTGAAAGACATTGCTGACTTCACGGAGCCCAGCTGCCTAGTGCCAGGCTGTCCCCAAGCCTTCATCAGCCACAAAATGCTATCAGCCACCCTGGGTGCGAGTCATTCAATGCCTGTCAGGAAACGGGTGAAGTCTCGGGGTGTGTGGGCAGGGGTAGAACCGGGTAGAAGTTGTTTTGGAGCCCGTGGGTGGGAAAGCAGAGACTCTTGAACTGCTGCAAAGCCATGCAAAGATGAAAACTGATCTAGCAAACGGCACTTGTCCTGAAGCTAAGGCCGCATTCATGTCTGGCGCAGCAGGAGCTTCAAAGGCATCTGCGAGTCAGATTCTATCGTGAGTCTGCCAACATTGACGAATGCTGCCGTTTGCAGGCAAGTTCCAAGCCAGAAGATCATGTGTACTCCGGGTGCGTGCCTCCCCTGAACGAGTGATTGATGTCGCCTCCTGGTAACTAGCTGCGGCCGTTATCACGCAGATTGATGAGCGGTGCAGATACCGTGCCAGCAAGGCCACATGGGAGGGTTTGGCCAAGCAGCCAGACCAATGGTGGGCGGATCACATCCACTTTCAGTTTGCAGGTGCGAGGCCAAGTGAGTTCTGTTATCAAACCCTTCAAAAGCACGACCCAGATTTTATCCGACCCCGGCAGACTCGATATGGACTGAAATTTTGAAATTCATATGTCTTTGTTGTGGAGCTGCGGGCCTAACTGCAAGCTTGACCTGAGACACGATCGGAGGGAGTACTCGCGCAGTGTCCAACTTAGCGCTTAGTGTTGCCACAGGGCAGCTGATGTCGTCTGAAACTCTGCCAGCAGCTCGTTCCCGACATTTCCGGCCGGTGAGCTCTTGGCCGTTCTGTACGAATTTGAGGAGCGACGCGTTCGGAATATCTAGGGAGCCTGGGGTACGCAGCGTGTTTGCGAACTGGTTCCTCTTGAAACTAAGGCCCGGATATGAACAGTCCAAGATAATCTCGCTTCCTGTGGTGCCCACCACTGCATTTGTTCTCCGCAGCTGCGATTTGTTTGCGGATGCTCGCAGGCAAAATCCCGAGGTAGCAATGCGGGAGCCATGATCTCTGAGTCAATCGAGGCAAAACCTGTGATCAAGCAGTCCGTTTCTTCTCTCGCAGCAGATGTCTCGCGATCGCTGACCACAACATGCAACATCTGGGATGAGTACAACTTAGTCGAAGAGCTTGGAAGCGGATCTTTTGGTGTAGTCCGTGCAGTGACGCATCGCGGCAGCAAGCAGCGCTACGCCGCCAAGACCGTGCGGCTGACGGAGAAGCCGGAGCCGGAGATGATGCTGGTGTCCTTGGAGCATCCCCACATCCTGCAGCTAAAGCAGATCGTGGAGGACGGCGGCGAGCGACACCTGATCTTGGACCTTTGCACTGGTGGCGACCTCGAGAAATGGTACCTTGGCTTACGAAAGCTAGCTCTGTAAAGCTTGCGGGAGGAGTGACCCAGGTCAAATCGCATTTAGGAGCTTATTTGGTGGTTTAGCAATACTGAAACACGGGGATGAGGGGAAGGATCCCCCTCGCTTTGTGCCGCCATCCAATGATTCAGAGGCACTGACTAGGAGGTAAACTCCCTCTCCACCCCAGCCCCTAGCCTTTCGTGGCCTGGTTCCGAGGATAGAGAATCGGTACGACGAAGACTTCGAAGGCACACGCTTCTACGACCAGCCAAGCGCTTCGGCTCAAGGCTTGTGCTGTTGAATTGTCACATGTAAAGAAGCATGTTTCTCTTCCGAGGCACTTCCACAGTGTTCTGTTTGGCTGAGCAGATGTTCTCTGCCATTGCCTATCTGCACGAGAGATCAGTGGTGCACCGAGACGTGAAACCTCCGAACTGGATGTTGGCTTGCCGGAGCCTATTCCCCAAATTGAAGCTGTCGGACTTTGGGCTGGCGTGCGAGTGCCCAGCCGGGGAGGTGTTGAAGGAGAAATGTGGCTCGCCCCCTTACATGGCTCCGGAAGTTTTTGAGAGGTCGTATACCGCCTTGTGCGATGTTTGGAGCACTGGCTTGGTCGTTCATGATATCGCCGTCGGCGCTCCTTTGTTCCACAAAATTCCGGAGCCTCAGTTGGAGGAACACGTCCTTGGACTGATAGAGTTGACATCGCCGACGTGGCGCTATCATAAGCCTTATTTGAAGGCTTTCGTTGCGGAGCTTCTGCAGCGCGAGACAGAGGGTCGACCCTCTTCCCTAGAGGCCCTCCAGAATGCAAGACAGCATGGGGCAAAATGCTCTTGCATCGTCTCTTGATGTGCTGCAAAACCGCCTAGGACAGGATTACACCGGGCTCGATTGCACTCACCACAAATGTTGTAGCGCTGTTCTGATAGAAGACATGCGGGTATCAAAGCGATCGATCGGAACTGGACTTGGCCAGTCCTCCGTCGAAGATGTGATGGACAATATGCCCCGTTTAGTGTGTTAGGTGTGCCAAGCCGGAAAGTGCGTACTTTTCCAATCACACTCATACTGGCCATGGGACCTTTAAAGAGGTGTCGCCAACTTGTTTTGAGAGATCGCCACCCGGAAAAGCTGCGCCTGAAGCCAATGTGGGGGCTCTTGAACGAGTCGGCGATACGTTACATGGTGCTGAGCGCATCTGGCAGGTCTCCAAGGGAGGCCAGTGGCAAACACAGTGAAGAGAAAGTGAGGCAGAAAGCGGCGCCTGTGTGCGTGTTGCATCGGCATCCTCCGGCCGTGCTGAGTGTCTCATGTTGCTTTGCATCAGCATGCGCAGACGGTACTACGGACAACGTGGGGCTCAAGATGAGGGTCAGCATTGAAGAGCCTAAATCCTCCATAGGCTGGTCCTGAGTTTCAAGTCAGCATAAGTCTTTAAGGTCCGTGGAGCTGTGCTCGAGCTCATGTGGCCATGAACGCCGGGAGGCTCCGGGCCAGCAGGCCTGGACATGGGCAGCTCGGCCATGGCCATGGGGCCGAAGCCGAAGCAGAAGCTTTCGGAGCTGCTGATGTTTGGCTTGCTCTTTGAAGGAAGGGCCAGGGCGGAGGCCCTGGATCTTGGAGCAGCTGAGAAGCAGCTGGCACCTTGTGCGGAACTGCTTCTCGAACGCAATGGCCAGAGCGATGAGCTCATGGCTTGCCGCGTTCCCCTGCTTGGCTCACTGCATAACGACCAGATTCCTGGGTACAGATACAATGTCACGGAAGACTGCCACTTCTGGGCAAGCTATGCAGCCAGGGATCGTCACGTCGAGGGCTCGAGCATTCTGGACTTCACACGATTGGCGGCATTCCGCTTAAATTCTCCGTTCATCCCGCCCCTGCAGCAGAATGGCACTGCCCTCTACATCGGCGCCCATCGCTCGGGAGACGACGGCCTGGTGTTCCAGCGTCGCCATGGGTTGCAGATGCACTTGTTTGAGCCTTCTCCGACATACTTCCAAATGCTGAGGGACTCCTTGGCCGGAGCACCTGGCTTCATTCTTCATAATTATGGCCTGGGTTCCAAGACCCGCCGGGCACTTCTGCGCCTCAGTGGGACTGCATCCCGAATCGTTAACATGACTCAGACGGGTGCAGACCTAGAAGATGACCTGGAAGACGAACTCGACGAAGGAGGGGATCCAGAAGGCACCGAAGCGGTATGGATTCGTTCAGCTGCCGAAGCGATTCCAGAGGTTTTGGCAGAAGATAGGACAGGCTTTGTGGAGTTGCTTCATGTGAACTGTGAAGGTTGCGAGTATGATGTTGTACAAGGCCTCAGCCAGACGGGACAACTCTTTAGAGTTGGTCAGATTCAGCTTGCTACGCACCTCTTGGAGTATACCGGGCCTGCTTCCGATTTTCAGGAGGCGCTCTCCTTGTCTTTGCAGATCTCTGTTAAGCGCTATTGCGAAATGCACCAGACACTTTCACTCACACATGATCGTGCGTGGGGTTTGCCCTGGGTTTGGGAGCGGTGGACACGCCGTGATGGAAGAAAAGCGCTGTGCAGTGCCCAGCAGAGCTTCCCGAACGGCCTTTTCTTCAGTCGAGCGGGCTGCATTGATGTTTGGGGCGCAAGACTTGACCGGTGGCCGTTGGGCTTTGCTCAGCTTTGCTTAGATGCGCCTACATGTAGGGCAACGCAAAAGCATACTGAGCTCGACCATGACAATGATAAGACTAAGAGCGTCTGAAGTCCCACAGCTCTGTGATGCTGTAGCCGCTATGGCTGGCTACCCAGAGCAAGGACCACCTTTACGCGTCGCAGTTTCGCATAGTCTCGCGGTGTCCTCGGCACTCTGGAGAGGACCCGAGCTTCGAGCCGAGCTCGCCAAGGAAGGTGTGCCGCCGCCTGCACCCCGGTTTTGTCGGCAGGCGCTGAGCAGATCTGAACAGCTCGGAACCAGGCTGCCGGTTTTTCGCCTGCGGGATGTGCCCATGCAGCCGCAGAGCGGAAGCTTTCAGGCATCTGCTTAAGCTGACCTCCAACTGTCTGCCTGTTTTTCGCAGCCGCCACTCTGCTACTTGTGATGTAAATTCGCAACTGATCCCTGCCGCACGCACACAGGTCGCGGATGCACAGATGCGCGCTCGAGAAAGTCTTGATTTGAACCCTTCAGCCATGCCGCAGCAAGTGTTGCTTAAGTGCAGCCTGTAGGTAGGACTCCATCCAAGTTTGGATGGAACAGGTGCTGGAATGACAGGGGCCGGTGGTGGATACCAAGTTGGCTTCCAGTTGACGCCGCTGAGCGTCGATGGCAGCCTGGATGCTGCAGACTTCAAGGGCGGGCCGCACCCTGTTGAGAAAGATCCAATTTACAAGCTCTGCCTGGATAATCGTGATTCCGGAAACAAGATGGTTCAAGAGGGCAAGATTGAGGAGGCCATTGCCCGGTACTCTGAGTTAATCATGCAATCGCGCGCCCTTGAAAGTGAACCTGATGTCCAGTGGACGGACGAGGGGCGCGACTTGGTTCGACATCTGCGGGCAGCTGCCTACTTGAATCTTTCGTTGTGCTTCCTGAAATCGAAGCAGTGGCAGCACGCCATCAACACGGCCACACGTGCTCTCCAAGGGGACAAGGACCCGCCGGAGCCCAAAGAGAACGTTCTTCTTCCCGAGAAAAAGGCAAAGGCGCTTTACCGGCGTGCGGTGGCTCTGAGGGATGGGTTCGACAAGCTCGATGAGGCAGTGAAAGACTTGAAGAAGGCGTTGGAATACGTGCCTGAAGACAAGAATGTGCAGCTCGAGCTGCAGAGAACCAACCAGGCCCTAGCCAAGGAGAAGAAGAAATCAGACAAAAAGCTGGCAGGCTTCCTGTCCTCCCAATCTCAAGGCGGCATTTTCTCGGAGGCCGATCGCCAAAGGGACACCAAGGGACCTGAACTGCCCAGCGAGCCCGTGAAAGTATCGGATGGGCTCTGGGTTGTCCCAAAGGAGGAGAAGGCCGGAAGGTCCTGCACCTTTCCACTTCTGGGGCCTGGGGCTTTCTTGGTGCCTCGCTTCGGGTCACGCTGTGTTCAGGAGGCCGAAGAGGGCGTCCAGGAAGCCAAGGAGGCTGGGATCGATCTGGACGAGCTCGGTCGTGCCACTTTGATGCCATAGACTTCCATAGACTCTTGCCCTCCGGGCTGTCACGAAGGCGAGTCTTGTGAGGACCCAGCTACTAAGGCTTCCCAGTGGCTCCGTAGGCGTGGAACCCTACTGTAGCCCGAATGAAAAGCGATATCTTGAGGTTGATTGGTCAGGGCCCCCGCTCTTCGGTTCTCCCTCTTCCAATTGGCAGTGCCACAACCAGTCTGATTGCCACCGAGCCTTGCCAAGTGCTGAGGAGATCAACGAGCTCAGGGAGGACAAGCCTGAAGTCTTCAGCGAGTTGCTCGTCAGAGAGACAGTCAAACGAAATGACTCGAGAGTCTTGCGAGTTGTCTGCAAGTCTCTGGTTGCAATCCAAGCACACTCCATAGGCAGGGGGGAACTGGGAAATGGCAAAAGAGGACCGTCTCAGTTTTGATTGAAGCAGCGAGCAGCAGACAAGATGTGATAGGTGAATGGATTGCAGAATCAACGGAGTAGCTCAACACATGCTTGCGATGCTGGAGCATTCATCTCATGTTTCTTAAGTCTTTGGTGCTTGTAGGAAGGCTGTACTTCCAGGTCACTGCGATGTCGAAGCGGACCCCGCTTGGTTGTGCTGCCTAATGTCACTGATCTTCCAAGGTGAATCGGATGCTGCATGGAGCGTGTCGATGACTGTAGCAATATCCTGTATCTGTTCCTGGCTAGCGACACGTCCCATCAAATATGCTGCGGCCCTTCATCACAGAACCCTAGCTTTTCCGAAGCGCAGCTGGCTCTTCGGAGCACTATCGTTTCCAGGCTCCGGGACAAAATGAAGACCTTGATCGAGGACAGCCATCACGGGGATGGGTGCGGTGTTGGTGGGTCTTGGGATCGAGCAGGAGAACGGATAAAGAACCACGTCCTCGCTTCCGGGCTTTTGTGATGCAGTTCCTTACATCCGGGGAGATGACTTGGCAAGTGTTCTCAAATCTCGCAGGGCGATCGTGGTGGGATGCAGCTAGTTGCAATGAAACTGCACATATTCCTCAACCGCCGCCGGGTTCACATGTGGCAGGGTGCCGCCGATCTTCGTTTTGTCGTGTTCTATTCCATTGACAGACGGCGAGTGTGCCCTGTGCGACACCTCGCCTGACGTGAACTTCGGGGGCAAAGTGTGCAAGTACGGGTAGGGAAGTTGTTGGGATTGGGTGGGGCAATGTCATGTTTTGCTTTCTGCACTTTCCGAGTTTCTCGGTTTTGCGAGAAGGCTTGCATGCGTGCCTCGGCTTCCACTCTGCCGAAGGAGAATCAATGAAGCAATGTAGTGATTGCTTACCGCGCAAGACGATGCACTGCAGGAGGAGGTGGTCAAGCAGGAGCAGACTTCTGGTTCAGCCGAAGCAGTGGCGGCTTAACTCACGAGCTGCTCGGCTTATGCAGCTCAGCTGCAGCATGCCACTCAGTTCGCGAAACAGCCGTGACGGTGCTGTGAAGTTCATGCTCAGGTGACGCCTTTGCTGCTACTCCGAGATGACAGAGTTGCTGAGATTCTGAGAGTGTCCAAGCTTTGAAGTTAACGTCTCGTGCCTATGCAGGGCCGCAGTCACCATCGTCCAGTTTCACCTTGCACTTGCCAGTGCAAACTTTTAAGTTGGCCGGGCAGTGCCTGAAGTTCTGCAGTGGGAGCGGAGTAGTCGTGGTGTCACGCTTCCACTCCGAGTCCATTTTTCAGCAGAGCACACAGACCATCCCGCCGCCTCGACAAAGAAATTCATGGCAGCTCTTCTGACAGAATCCGGGGTGTTCTGCTGCAGAGCAGGCTTTGAGATGGCGGCACTACACCAGCACGGTTCAGCTCTACTGGACCCTCGGAGATGGCTGGGTCGGAGAAGGTTGGGAAGGCCAGGGTCTCAGGGGAGGGCGGAGCTACAGACAGTGCTCGAGACGGTCCTTTTCAGGTCTTCAGGACGCTGACTTCGAGGTCAACAATGTTTCTTGTTGGGGAGCTTGCTTTGAGCGAGAGCGAGAGGTGCGAGTCAGCGCCTCTGAGCTGGTGGTGCGATGCTTGGCCGGACCGCGCAAGAGCGAAGTTCTTTCCCCAGCTGTGAGTCGACAACTCTTCCGATTCTTCCCTCCTCCGAGTGATCCCCGGCAGGTCCTGGGACCTTTGAGCGGGAGGCTGTTGAATGAGGCTCCTGCAAAGCTCTATGTTTGCTCCAGACTTAAGTAGCTGGTTGGCTGGCCCAGACTGGGGCGTGTACCCAAAAAGTGTGCCGGGAGCTGGCTGGATGGTAGGGGCATGGATACCCTCTTGCTTCTTTTTGTAAAAACCTAGCTCTGGAAAGACCAACTCCAAGGCGCGTTCTTGAAGTCCTCTTTCTTGCAGTGCATGAAGAAATTCGTTGGAGGGTGAGACGCACGCTTCCCGAAACTACGGCGATGTTCAGTCTCCCATGCATCGTTGCTGGGGGCATGCTCAAGAGACTGTGCACCAGTGCGCCAGATGCATGAAAACCTGAAGAACGCATGCTGGGATACATGTCCTGACGCCAAAGACCTTCGTCAAGGGGCATCCCGGGACTGTCGCTCGAGCTGACAGGTGGAGCCAGGGAGGTGTTGGTTTGCTGTGGAGCGGGCACTGGCCTGAATGCAGCCTTTCTCACGATGTGATCCTTGGATTTTCGCGCAGAGCTGCCCTGCCATTCTGCAGAAACTTGAGCTGCTTCGAAAAGCGACGCAACTCTGAGGATGTTCGGGACCCGCGGAGGCAGCGAAGGCATTTGGTAATTGAGCTCGCCGGCTTCCCATTGGCTAGAGTCGCGGAGGGTCTTGAAAATTACAGGCCAAAAAGACAGGTCAGAAGATGTGTCATGAATGAACTGACTGCTTCTTTGTAGGGTTCAGGCTGTGGCTTCCAACCGTAAGCCCTTCTGCCTGAGGCCAAGAAAAGCCCTGGCAGACCTTGGACAGTTCAGTGCTCAGCTCTGCCCTGCTTCCTTGAGGTTGCTGTAGATAGAAAACTCCATCTCGGAGGAGAGGCAGATCTTCAAAGATCGCTCTGAGATGTTCAACCGCAGGCTTCGCCACCTCTCTTGCTTTTTTTGCCTTGATCGCTGCGCTGCGGGTAGGTCCTTTGCTTGGACACCGCAGCAGAAAGAGCAGGAAAGCCCGAAACTCAAAGCTGAAGAGCTTGCAGAGTTGGTCTCTGGAGCCGTAGAGCCATTGCACTTGGGGGATGTTTGTGTCGAGGCGAGAGCTCCTGGACAACGCTGAAGCCCGGGAGAAGACCCGATGTACAGGAAGCAGCGAAATGCCGCGAAGCATTCGGGTCAACATCTCTCCGCGAAGTCCTCATCCCCACAGCTACTCGCGGCTTTCAGAGGACCCGTTTGTTACTTCGAGAAGTTGGCTATGCCACGAACTACAGTGCGCAGCTCTGCGTTCCATCTCTAAGTCGTCAGAGCTTTAGTTGACCACACACACGCCTGAGGCAGGGCCAAAGCGCTCAACATCTGTATTTCCGTATCATCCTCGACCAGCTCTGCCCTTGGATGTGCTCCATCTGGCGCAGCTGGGCCTTGGGTTGCTCGTCACGAGGAAAAAACTGGACGAAGCTTTGGAGAAAGTTCCTTACTTTAGGCACCGTGATTCTTCTCGCTCTTCATCTTGCATTTCTTCTTTAAGCCAGTCCGGCATCTCCCTGAAGGCTTTTTGGAGTTGACGTGTCGGAGCGCTTCTTCAAGCTGTTTATTCGCGGGGATGAGTGCGCCAGCCCAGATCCCCCCATGCTTGCCGAATTTCTCTCATCACTTCACGTCCAGGTCAAGCCCCATTATGCTGGGAGAGCTTGGAGGACCTCACTTGGGCGGCAGATTTGCGGGAAACTTGCAGCGTGACTCCAGAGGAGCTGTAGTTCCTGATGAGACGGAAGTGGAGCTGACAACCGTTACCCGAGAGGCCATTTGATGAGGATAAGGCTTTTTCATGACTGCCTTTTTTCTTCGTGAGGTATCTGGGCACCGAATCCGTGGTACAATGGAAACCCTGCCCTGCAGCGTGCTGAGAAGACTGTTCACACAACCTCGGCTGTCCCGTCCCGGCTAAGGCTTGGATGTAACTCTGAGAAAAGATCCAGAGTCCCACGGAGAGTGGGAGGCTTTCATCCATTCCGACGAGCAGGCCCGCCTTCTGGTTCCCGTTTTATCTTGAAAGCGTGAGAGCTTGTGAGCAATCATGGAAAGCCGACATTCGGCTGACTCCGAAAAGTTTTCCAACGCATGGATTCACTTGAGACAGGTTCAACATCAAGGGAGCCTCTGGCTGAAAGCCGCCTCCGGTAGATTCGTTCTGCACAGACTACCGTTGCAACTGTCGGACAACCGCAGGAATAGCATCCATGGCACTCGAAGCTGAAAGCCTGCAACACCGAGAGAGAACCCTAGCAATGTCCACCCTGATTCCGAAGGGGCATCTTCAGGTGGAGGCAGAGCTTTCCACAGCATCTCCCACAAACGTTCAGTGTGAAAGTGTGCTCAGTTGACAGCGTGTACGAAGCCTGGTAGTCTGTTTAAGCCACTGTTTGTGCAGCCTAGCTTTAGGGAAGCAGTAGCAGAGACGTCGTGCGACTTGCGGCTGGGGTCCCTTTTTGGGCCAAGGCTCGAACTGGAAAGCGACCGGTTTTGACAGTCACCTTTCATGTGCGGATCGAAGATGTTCCGAATTGCAAACGGGTAGAACGGTAGAACTGAAGCAGGCTGTACGCCGTACTCTGACAATGTCTGACGTCTCTGGATCAAACCTGTAGGCCCATGCTTGCAAACGGACAGACTTGATGCGAAGGTCTTGAACAAGCCACAGGGCACCCTGGAGGAATTTGAGGCGCAGCATGTTGTGGCTCCCGCACTTGTGCTCGCCAGACGGTTGTTGCACATGGTTGTAGGTCCGCCAGCGCAGGCCAGGCACTGAAATCCTGTCACGCCACGAGTCGCGTGGCTTGGGAGAGAAACCAAGGAGAGACCCCTCTCCAGACCGGTCAGATTGGACGCCTGACGCAGTGCCCCAAGACAACATGCAAGCATGCAAGCCGCATGCAAGCCGCATGCAAGCCGCATGCAAGCCGCATGCAAGCCGCATGCAAGCCGCATGCAAGCCGCATGCAAGCCTCAAGCCATCATGGCTTCGATGACCCGACAAGGACTTTGCCGACGAGCAGAAGGACAAGGCCGATGCTGCTTTCAAGGAGGGCATCTTTCGCCGTTGGCCCAGATGTCCTGGCGGACCATCGGGAACCGGAGGGCGAGGCAGGTAATGTCGCACCGTGCTGTCGCCATCAGGTGATGCCATCGTCTACTACACCAGAGCGCTGCGACACACACCCCGGAACGAGAGGCCTGATCTTGAGCATATACCGACGGGCTGTTGCCCTGGCCCTGGCCACATGCTAAGACTTGGCAAGGTTGCTGTCAAATCGCAGTTCGGAGCCCAGAACCAGCTCCAGTTTTTGGATGTCCGCGCCTGTCCAGCTCATTGCTCAGGTGCTGCATACTGCAAGATCTCGAAGTACCAGCTTGCTCTGGACTGTTGCAATAATTGATCTGGATGCGGCTGGCTGCATGTTGCCGTCGAATGAGCTTACGTCGAATCAGGATGATGTAAACCTTGCGATGGAGATTGAGCCTTCCTGGCGCTCTTCTCAGCTGCTAGCTGCAGAAAGAGGCATTGCTAGCTGAGCTGTGTCGTTCGGTAACAGGCCTAAGCTGCACTATCGGCGGGGCCAGGTCTTCTGACTCAGATCCTGTAGATTTGGGGCTCGGGCTTTTGCATGCTCTGCTGCCCTAGGCGCTGCGTGGCCTTCGACGATGGGACGAGGCCGGGGCCCAGGACTTTGCTTCGCCCACGGAGGCTGCTGCGCTGTCCTCTCTGTGCTTAGGCAGTGGCAGCCTTCGAGGAAGGACGAGACCTGGACCCTCAGAACCCTGACTGGGATAAAGAGGCCCGTCCTGGCAAACGTCTGTGCTGTGTTACAACCTGCGACATGTCAGGTGAACCGAACGAGAGCCGCCAAAGAGCTGAAAGAAACCTCCTCATTGCAAAAGGCCAAAAACTGATCCTTCAGAGGGTTGTAAGTTGTAAGCATACGAACTGTGCCGTGGCCTACTTAGTATTCTGCTGCCCATTCCAGAAGTTAATCCCAAGACGTATTCTTTGTAGAACCCCATAGGGGATGTTAAGAATCAGAACGATTGTCCAACTTCCTAATTACATCCTGATGTCTGTCATGGTTTTCATGACTTCTTCTATCTGCAAAGGAGCTAGCGCGAATGGCAGGGGCTTGGAAGAGAAGGGAACGGAGTAGAAAGGAGCGCCCAGAAGGAAACTGGAAAATTGCACGTGCACATTGCCTCGCTGTGCTTACTGGAGAACTTCTGAAACGGGATCAAGCTTCTGTCTTGGTTTCGATGACTCGCTTATTGGGCAATTTGCGAGATCCGCATGATTGTTGTCGTGTGTGTGGTGTTGCCGAGGTGTTCGTGCATGTCTCGGTATTCTAGGGGCCGCTGTCAGTGCAACGATTGCAACCAGCTCCTAGAGTAAATCCTCACGACCTCACCAGACAATTTGTTTATACGTAATTACCTTTGCAACATAATGCAGTATTCAAAAAGCGCTGTGCGTGAGGGGTGTCTTAAATCACTATTCCATAGAGCCATAGGGAGAGGTTGCGTCGCAGGATAGTGTTCGCGGAATATCTTCGAAACATGATTTTTTAATGATGCATGTTTCAAGAGGACGTTCGCGGGGGTGGGGAATGATGCTTGAAACCGGGCATTTGCCTACCGGGTCCGGTGAACACCAACTCGGGTCCGAACTTGGCTGGGTTTAGGGTTTCCGGTTTTGGGGTTTCTGGGTTCGGGGTTTATGGTTTAAGGGTTTAGGGCCTAGGGTTTCTGGGTTGAGGGTTTCTGGATTTAGGGTTTCTCGACTAGACTCAGGGTTTAGGGGCTTAGGGTTTCTGGACGTTCTGGGTGTGGAGTTTCTAGGTTCAGGGTTAGGTGTTTCTGGGTTTCGGGTTCTGGGTTTGGGGTTTTTGGGTTTAGGGTTTCACTGGTTCAGGGCATCTGGGCTACGGGGTTTCGCGTTTCAGGGTTTAGGGTTTCCTGGTTCAGGGTTTCTGGGTTCAGGGTCAGGGGCAAAACTCTTCCTTTGTGGGCGCAGGGGTAGCACGCAGATGCAGTATACACACAAAATACGGTAGAAAAGATGTCAACCATACACCCCACTCTCACCAGCCCTTAAAGGACCAAATTGCGTACGGACCGGGGTTGCGGACCCGGCTTGCGGTTTATTAGTCAAACCGTCCCCCACAGAAAAACGGGCTCTCCGCCCCCTTGAAAATATTAAGAAATTCATTCCGACCGCGCCTCAAGAAAACCCCAAAAACACCCCCCATCGCTGTGCTGCTTTGCAGTTTGCCAGGGCTTCTGGACTGGACGCTCCCCCTAATCCGTCCGATTCTCTTCCATGCCACCGAAAAATTCTGAAGCAATCTTCAAAAGGGAGACATGGTGGAACCTCGTCAAATATCGTGAATTCGTGAAACAATGAGTGCAGTTCATACCGTTCTACGAATCCGATACAAACGTTACTAACAGTATAAACTCTTTGCCTCTGCTTTAGGACCCATGGTCATAGTTTCGTTCATGTAAACAAGAGATGGAATACCAAAACGTGGCTTGTCAGCTTGTCATGGCACCTACATGAAAGTTTTGAGCCCAGAAGAACTGTAGCGGGTGAGTTGAGACTGCAGCTCCCAGCGGCTCAGACGAAAAGACTGGTCTCGCGCGTTGTGTCGGCAAGCTTTTTGCGTTCTTGATTTGCATGTGCAGCTTTGAGCGAACTGGCAGCCCACGCGGCTCAGACACGTGCGCTGCCACAGAGAGGAGACGTCAAGGCAGCAAGTCAATGGTGTTTGCACATGGTGACTGCTAGCACGCTGCAAGCACTGCTTGGGTGCTGGGTCCAAGCAGGCTCGCCTACATCCGCATCAGGGAAGAGCGCGCCGCTTTGCTTAGTTTTGAAGCGCGCTTCCCAGCAAAGACACGCCATCTGCGGCAAGACACCTTTTGGCTTTTCGGCACCGAGGTCGCTGAGCTGAGTCTCACCGCCAGAAGCTGAAAGTAGTCGAAGGTCTCAGCGACGAGTTGAAGAGCTTCCACCAGATCCCCAGCTAAAGCTCAGCTTCAGACCTCCATCTCCAACAGAGCCTGCTTAGCTTTTAATCGCGGAGCGACACCTGCGAGCTCTGGCCACAAGCCGGCCATGGGCTGCCAGCGCATGGAGATCACACGCTGTGGTTCAGGGCTTGGAGAGACAGGGCCATGCCACAGCGACCTTGTGGACTTGTATCAGGCACCTGCTCAACCCTGTCTCTCTTCTTCCACATAGATATTGCGCAGTCTACCCCCGGCGAGTCAGCACCTTAGTGCAGTTGCGATGCCGCCCGCGACGTATAACACGTGGTACTCAGGCACCTGCACGTTGTGGGCTCGCACGAGGGCCTCGGTGCATGGAATCCCGACAAGGCTTTCTTTACCGCTTTAGCTGAGACGGTGGTGCTCCGCACGCTTGTGTCAGGGAGCTCGTCTGACAACCAACGAGCGAACATATCCCGTGTGGCGGTCTCGACAGGTCGCTCGCTCATTCTGAGACTCTTGTCCCTTGCTAGTGCGTCTTCAAGCCGTGGTCAGATCGAGTTGAGATGCGCACCGGAAGATTCTTCCACGGTGCTGGTGCTCAAGCTCGGGGCCCAGTTTGAACTCGATGACTTGGTGACTCGGGCATCGGCCAAGGTACAAATATGTGCTTGACCGCCGCGAGCTCAAACAGGCCGACCGACCCTTGCACCCTGGCAGCTGGTCTTGCAAAGCAGCACACACACCTTGTTCTGGCAGGGCTTCCTGTGGGAAGAAAGCATCCCCGATCGCGAGGTCGTAGCCTTCTGCTACCTCCGAGATCGATCATTGGCTTGCTCTGGCTCAGGTGCAGATACCGTGGTCGCAGGATTGTGACTGTGCTGCTGCCTCCTCAGCGCTTGCTGTGATCCGCTGTAGTCTGCTAAGCCATGAGTCTGAGGTATGGCTGATCAGAGACTCGGCCTTCAATCGGGAAGGGGCCACCAAAGTGACGAAGCTCGCTCCAGGAGCAGCGGGCACCTCAGACCTTCAAAGTGCTGAGCCCCGTGCTACCTGTGGCCTGTGTCTGCCTGCCTTCTGCGCCTAGAAGCTCCTGCGCTCTCCACAGCAAGAGACGAGTGAAGGACTGATCTCTGTGCCGGCGCCTTGAGATCCCAGGCTGACGCTTTGCAATTCCAGCTCTGTCTGCAGGCCGGAAGAGACTCCGGAGGCAGAAGAGCCAACGGAGACACCGCTCTTCGATGCTAAGCCAGCCCCAGCAGTCTTGCATTGGAACTGATTGCGAGGTATGTCCTGCAATGTGTCATAACCCTGCACGCAGAAGAAGGTATGCCTTAGTTGGACGCCGCCCATTTGCAAAAGGTGGCTTCAGTTCAGCACGAAGCTAAGTTCGGAGAAAGGTATATAGGCCGGTTTTCAATTCTGGTTTTGATCAGGTGTGGAGATGTCGTCGCCAAGGCCAAGCTAGGCTTTAATGTGAAGCCGTCAGTGAGTCAGTCTCCCTGTGCTCTGGCACAGGCTCAGCTGGAGTTGGAACGGAGGAGTTTGCGGCGAAGCGCATCGACTTGGCAGGGCCCAGCTGACAGGTTGTCGGGCTTCGAAATGGTCTGGCCCATGGCCCGTGTTCAGCCAGAAACAGAACATTGTTTCGGCTCAAGAAGACACGATGTACTGTAGGTGGATACGGGAATAGCACAGTCCATGCCTGCAATTTGCACCTGCAGATGGACTCTTTATATCATATTGAGAGTGCGTGTACTGCCCTCATGCCGCGCTGGCTCGCCACGACAGCCCTTCTCAGGCCAACCAGTCCCTTCGCACCAAGCTGGACTAGGACATTAGGATATGGTGACTTTCGAAGGGTGGCTTTTGAACAACCGCGGGTCTTTTTGACAAATCAGCCTCCGCACGTGTTTGGAGAAACGCCGAGCTTGAGCACAGTGGTTGTGGACCCGAAGTTGTGTTGGGAGGGAAGGAATGATATTTCTTCGAGGCATTGGCTCCCTGAAGCACTGGTCAACATGTGGCGAGGGTCTCGGGAGCGCAGGGCAGGCGAGCCTTGGTGAAAGGGTACCGGAAGTGGGGGCGGTTTGAAGACAGGATGGTGGAGAAGCTAAGGATTTGTGCCTTGCAGTGCTCAAGCAATGAGCCTGTGCTGGATCAATTTCTCAAGCCCTGGGCGCATCAGGACGGGCATCTCCGCCTTGGGTGGCTCTTTGCACGCGCTGCATTGTGACAGCACATGGTTGATGCAGCTTCGGGCAGGAGTACTTGCTCCCGTTTCATGCCTTGGACCAGTATTGTGATCCTGCAACGGTCAGAACGCTTTCAGCAGCTGTTGCTGCTGCTTGGACTACACGAGCATCGCGAGTACACCAGCCTGTCGTGCTTCATGTGAAGCGTGCGAAGCGCGGCTGCTTCAGGTGACGAACAGCTCGATCTTTTGGAAGATCCTTGATGTGGTCCTTGAAGACACTAAACCAAGTGCCAGCCGTCGTGATCCCCAAAAGCACGGTGCCTGCCACTGGGCATGTTAAGGAAATGCCATGCAGATGGGGAGGACTGACGGGGTATCGAGGCTGTGTTGCGATGAGCCTTAAGAGTTCCAATGCAGCTGGGCACTGGGCTGCTTCAGCAGTGAAGTGAAGTGTGGTGGAGTGCTGAGTGCTGCAGGACAGTGGCTGCATGGACCCTTTTGCCAACGAAGACACCCAACTCTGGCTTCGAATCTTGCTTGAAGTGCTGCAGGCTTGTCATGGGTGCCTGGTGGTGGTCGCACCTGATTGGCTTGTTGCTCTCCAGGTGGTCAGGATCGATGGAGCGCTTTTCATCGTGCAGTGTGGAGATGACCCGAATGTCCCCAGCGATCAGGATGCGTGCAGAGTGTACATTGATCTAGGGTTCAACTGTGCATTCCTGACAGGAGCCATTTCCAGTGTTCCACTCAGAGGGTGGCGTGGGGGTTTGGAACGTACCATGGCTCAACCCGTACCACCTCAAGGCTTGGGTTGGCCTTCTGACCGTCTGCATCTGCAGCATGTCAAAATCAGCGCGCAGATCTGAAGGCTTTGTTCCAGGGTGAACTCGATGACCGAAATGCTCCTGGGCGTGTTCCATGGGCGCAGAAGAAGCCGGTGGTCTACTGGCGTGGTGCCCTGACGGCGCCGGACAATATCCCCATGTCGGAGGCAAGGCAGCTGAGTGTCGGGCCGAGCAGCGTCCGAGAATGCTCGGCTCGCAGGCGCAGCATCTCCCGCGTTTCCGCGTCTTTCAAGTGGCGTCCATGCGCAACGAGCTGTGCCTTGACCTGCAAAGATTCCGGGGGTTCAGGGTTCGTACCTGTCTGCGAGGTTCGATGTGGGAGTCAGCAGCATTGATGATGAGCTGATTGCCGCCTGGGGCAAGAAGGCAGGGAGTGGGGAAGAGTGATGCTGGTGGCAAGGAGCCAGGGTGGCAGGGTCTGTTCGTGAGGCTGTTCAGAAGCTCGTCAAGCAGCACAGCGTTCGACGCACCCCGCATGAGGCACCTGCAGCTACAAACTGCGAGGTTGTCGGGGGAGGGGGAGGCGCAAGGCTTCTCGGTACCGTTGCGCAATTCTTGTTTGGCTGAGCACGAAGAAGAGACAAATTACGTGTACAGCGACTTTTCTGCTAAGCGTGGCTACTGTTATGTTACGGCTGTTACGGCAACACAGTAAAGATGGCTGCTGTGTTTCTGGCCCGGTTTGGGCGGGGCGAGGCCTTCATGACATGGACATGGCATAAGCACATAAGAAAATGCCGGCAGCCGTGAAAGGTGGTACAACGGCACTGCGTGGCGACTTCTCTCCTTGTCTTGATAAGACACCGTTGCACACTCTCAGCCTCGTGTTTCTCATCCATCCTTTTCGGGCGGCTGCATCTGTCGGTCCCGATGAAAATTGGTTTGGAGTAGGTTCCCTTAAGTTAGTCGGTGTTGTTGGTGGCCGCAGTACATCCTTCAGTAAGCTAGGCGGGTCAAAGCAACGAAACACGGGCTCTGCCAGTGAGCGATCATAGCAGGCCTTTGCAGACGGAGTCCAGGATTGTCGTATTTGGCATAGAAATCAAAGCTGCAAACATTTGTGGACGCGCCCTTCACGGGCGGCGGTTGCCGACAAGATCCTGAGCGTATGCAGGGTTACCAGGTTCACTTGAATTAAATCAATTTGGGAGTGGACTTCAAGTTTCTCTGAACTTCGACATGTCTTGGCGCGCCCATCCCGATTTTTCTGCAGGACTTCGCGGAGGTCGCGCCCAGATATCGCTACCTGCTAAACTTGAACGGCGTGGTGTCTTCGTGGCGACTTTCTCAACTGCTCCGTGTTTCGGCTTTTGATGGCTGCCGCATGCAATACGGGATGGTCCTATAACCAGTGGCCCCTTTCTTTCATCTTTGTCCAGGACAGGATTTTGGTAACGTGCAATGTAGTCCCGAGAATCGGGAAAAGCGCAGAAATCCGAGCGGAAGGCAATGTAACCGGTTGCAAGAAAGAGCAACAACAACAACTACTACTGCTGCTGCTACTGCTACTGCTACTGCTACTCCTACTACTACTACTACTACTACTACTACTACTGCTACTAGTGCTACTACTACTGCTACTAGTGCTAGTGCTAGTGCTAGTGCTAGTACTAGTACTAGTACTAGTACTAGTAGTACTACTGCTAGTACTAGTACAAGTACTCGTACTAGAGCTAGTAGTAGTAGTAGTAGT